TATAATTCTTGGTCTTCAAACATTTTTGGTTGACCTGGATGTTCTTTGTTTTTCACATCAAAATCATCACTTTTAAAGCATTTAAACCAGCATTCACAGTATCTGGAGATGGAGCATGTTCGCCATAAGCTTCCCAAAGTATAAGATAACTTTCAGCAGCACTTTTCTTCAAAATAAAGTAATGGATTAAAACTTGCCACAAATGCTCTTTTATGGCATGAAATTTGATATTTTTGAGCATTTAAATATCTATGATGTTAACATTTTTAGAAAATTTGACATATGAAGTTTTGAAGCTTGTGAATACAACAAAATAGCATACATATCAAATCACATATATATATCAACATATGTGTAACTCCATCTAGTAAAAAAAAAAAAATCTGCATTATTAACCAGCACACCTAGTAATAAAAATCTCAGTCCAAGAAACCCTGTTGAGGCTTTGTTTCCCCTAATTTTAAAATCATAAGTGCCAGAGAGATAACACTTCTCTAAGATAGCTTGAATCCTATAGCTTCAATTCTCAAGGAAAGGTGATCCGTATAAGTAACACAAGCAAAGGAGAAGAAAAATCACTGAAAGGTAATTGGCTGAAAGTATTAAGTTCCTGAGTAAAAATTAAACAGAGTAAAAATTGAAACCATTGTTTATATATTTTTTTCACACATCAGTGGCATATTTATCCCTATTTGACACCCTTTTAGTTGTAAAGATGCCAAAGAGTTTAGTAATTCTACAGTTAAAAGTCAAAAATAAATTATTTATCAATCATATTGCTTTATGAGGCAGAAAAACAATATGCACTGATTTTCTGTGTATCAGTCCTATGTTCACAGCCTAGGAAGGTTCAGATAAATTTCAGCTAAGTACCTTTGAGATCTGGACTGTGGTTGCTTTAATGGCATTACGGCTTTCTAAAGCTAGGATCACTGTTGTGGTCTGGAATTAGGTTTGAGGTCCTAAAACTTGTGTTAAATTTAACCTAGATCATCAACCAGATGAATTTTCGGCTACAGTTTCAACTGTAAACAATCTGACAGGGTGATTGGCAGCCTCTCATTATAGAGGCGTACTGATTAATTAACACAGAGCTTAATTAATTTTGTAAGGCAAAGAACAGTATTTCTTTGCAGTGAAAATCAATATTGGAATACTTGGATCTCGTTCTTGGGGTTAATTTCACTCAGGTATTTAGCTCACTTTAAATTCACAGTTCTTAATAAATGTTATCTTCTTCCAACTATTAAGGTAATTAGGAATATTTATGATACTCTGCCTGAAGTTATTTTTGGAAGACTGTGAAGTGTAAATAAGTATATTATTTTATTCTTGCTTAGGTTTCAAAAGCGTATTTCTATTATTGTACTTGTCAGAATGTTACACTACACTGTTAAAGGCAAAGATGTATGTAGAAACTGTGGGGACATGTACCCCCACCCCTGGGTTTTGGTAGGAATCATCTCAATGTTGTGCTCAGTGGACATTTAAATCATTTTGCCATTGTCAATGCTTGGAGAATTATTTCCTTAAATATTGGAGTGAGTCTTTGGGGCTTCTCAGGAAAGAGTTTCTTCCTTTGGCATATGACTTAGCAGAATTCTCTGTTCTGAAAATAAACCATGAATGGGAGAGTTCCTGCAGCCTGCAAGGTAATTTTCTGGGAAGGCCTGAAGAAAGTCCAGAGATTGAGAACTAGAAGGGCTGGGATTCTTCCTCCTCCTGGGAAAGAGACATGATACCTGCCAAGAAGCTCAAGATGAAACCTGAGCTACAAGGCACCACTTGGACCATCTGAAGTCTGAGCTCAGGGGGACAAATGAAGATGCTCACTTTCCTGAGGAAGACAGCAATGAATGTGGCTCTGGCCAGCTGTGCAGCACAGACACAGAGAGAGAGAGGGCAGAGCGGAAGGTGGCTTCATGAGAAAAGGTGCTCTAGCAATAATGTCCTGTAGAAAGCAAGAACTTACTGTAAGCCCAGAAGCCCAGGAGGACTCAGGAGCACCTTCTTTTCCTCTGCTAAACCAGGAGCTAAAGCACAGCTCTAGGGGCCCTAGAAGGGCACAGCAGAGAGAGCCCAAAGGAAAGGACTGTGCCCTGAGAGGCCCAGAGAGGACTGTGAGAAGCAATGGTTAGAAAACTGGTGCAGGACTAACTGAGCAACCTGTTGCACCTGTGACATCTGTGAGAGATGTAGTTCCCTGTAGCTTGCAGAACAATTCTAAGGTGATTTAGTAATTACTTGATTAAGCCAACTTTTTAAGTAAATATCCATCCTCAAAGAATCTCTCAGGGCCATAGAGAGGGGAGCAGTAACCCCTTAGTGCTCAAGTGTGAGGGTGTCAGTGAGCCCAAAGCCCAGGGAGAACCAGTGATGTGGGATAGGAGGAGCTGAGGTACCAGAGGGAGAATTTCAGGGTCAGCTGTGGACTCCTGAGGCCCTGTGACTGCTTTGTTACCAAAGCAGCTGAAATGTGACTCCCCAGGTGTCTGTGACCATCTGATACCACACACACAAGTCAAGTGCTCACAAAGGGGACTTTTCTTTGCCAGTAAAGATAAGCTGTGACTTTGGCCACTCTCTGTTTTCAGGAACAAGATGCTAATTGATTTCTTTACAGATTTTAAACAGAGTCACCTGTTCGAACTGTCCTAACTATCTTCCTTTTTGATTTGTAATCATTATTTCACCATTTATTATCATGAAAACATAGATATATAAGTTTTAAATTGTTCCATCTGAGTCATAATAATTGGTTAAATAGACTTCTGGTTGAATCCTATTTTTATGGCATTATGAAATTTACAAAAATATCTGAGACTTCAAAGCTATGTATATCCAGTTTTTCTTCCAATTCATTAGCTGTTTTTTTTCTTAATTTTTGCTACATCCTCTTTCTCTTTTTGTCATCCCAGTATTTTATCTTCATACTCATTCCCTTGATTATTTCATCCAGTTCTATAATTTTTCAATGCCTTTAATAATTCACATATTTATTTTTATACAATTATACCCAGTATTGAACTCCAGACTCCCATATAAAACTACCTCAATGTTACATCTCTCTATTGGATATCTAATGGGTATTTTAGTCATAAAATTTTGAAATGGAATGCTGCATTTTCCTCTAAATCTTTCTCTTTCTTTTATTAATCCATAAAGTAAGGGTTGGAACTGTAATGTTGTGAATAGGTTTAAGAAACAGATAAGTAAAGAAAGTTCTGCTTGTTTGGTCTGGGAATATATTAGGTTTTTCCCCTATTCTAGCAGAAGAAAAATAAAAGAAGGATAAAATAAAATGAGCTGCTGGAGTATATTGACATTATCCTTTCCAACTGCAGGTAGAACAAGGATAACGGAAGAGAAGGGGAACAAAAGAAAGCTAAGACAAGTCATATTCACATTTAGGCTCTTACCTATAACCAAAAACTTTGTCTAACATGACCTTCCCATGGCCTTGCTCTGGCTTCACATCCCTCTTCCAAACATAGAAATACCTGGATGAAGTATTTAGAATAGACATCACCACACCTTCCTCCACTGTTGTCTAGGCCTCTTTCATGTGGGGGAAGGGATTACAACACAGAGGGAAGTGATATTATTATTCTAGCTACTGCTAAGTCAGAGGGGGTGAAGCTTATAGCAGAAAGAAAGATTATGAAAATCAGAACACATCAAGTCCAAAGGAATACACCAAACTGTGTGGCCTCCAGCTGGTTTGGGTTACTCCATCTACTAGTCTACCAGTTGGTTATGGTAGATAGCTTTTCTGATCGGTTGGTGCCACTGCTCAAACCAGGAGGCACGTATTTTGAATATACCCTTGGTTGTGTCATGGTTTCTGTATCTTTTATGTGAAAGGAGCCTTAGAAAAGGTGCACTTGTTCAGACAGACTTGTACACACAAGTAGACACTCAGATATTGTTCATACATATTTGCTAATTGTTCTACTGATGAACTCATAACAACAACCAGAGTTTCTTTGCCTACAATGTAGGTTGCTAATAACTCCACATTCTGGTTAATCCTGAGAGTTTCCCAGCTTCCCTTCATATGAGATTTACTGAAGTCACCTAGGAAGTAGTCCATTTGCAGAACTGTGAAATAATACTTTATAAGGATTCAAATTATGCTTTCAGGTCAAGTTCCCCATCTCTCCCAGAAAAGTGCACTGAAATCTCACCCTCCCCTCTAAATTTGTCAATTTCCTCTGGGGCTTAAATACAATTTTTTTTTTCTTAACTATTATTACTTTTAGCAATGTTCTCAAAAAATACTTGAAATATAGAAAACAGCTTAGCTCTGTGTTTACCTGGACTAAAGGGGTACATATCCCTCTCCAAGAAGTGTTAAGCCCAGGAAGAGAGATGACAGGATCTCAGAAAGCAGGAGTGAGCCAGACCCCAGCTCAGAGGAGGAAATGTGGTGTTTATGGGACCAACTTGCACATGCAAACATGAGCAAACCAAAGCAATGTAACAAAGGATCCTCAACCTCTGGATTTCTCCAATGTTTAAAGTTGTTATAAACATCCATGGCTAAGTTTGGAACAGGTTTGTCTATAAACATGCATTTATCGATTTAATAGAACCACAAGGGTAACTTAACCAAAACTTACCTAAGAAACATCAATTTTCATCCCTCCAATTGGAGCCCAATCTTCAAGCTCCTCTCTCTCTCTCTCTCTCTCTCATTAGGGGACACCAGATGAGGGGGTTAGGGCACTCTGTGCTGTCTCTGCAACTTTTAAGTGAATCTGAAATTACTGCAAAATAAAAAATTTAATTTTCAACAAGAACAAAAGTTTATGAATTTAGAGTGCAAACAGAACCTTCTTTATAAACTATCCCTCTTATATCTCTGCTGAGAGGTGTGCGGTGTTTGGGAGCCCTGGGTGCAGGCCATGCAGTCCGGGGTGCGGGTAGCAGAAAGTGTGCGTCTGGGCGCGGCAGGAGCCCAGGCTCCTCCCCGGAGCCACGGGGACGCCGGACTTTGCCCCGGGCGCGCCCTTCCGGGCGGAGCTGGTCTGTCTGAACCCCAGCAGCTCCTAAGGCCACAACCTCCCCCCCCTCCCAGGCCACCCAGCGGGAGATCCCAGGGGAGGAGCAGCTCCGAACCCGCGCGCCCTCAGCGCCCTCCAAGGTAGGCGATCTGCGGCCCCCAGCGCGCGCCGGGTCACCCCCAGGTGGGCGGGCATCCAGGCGCTCTTGAAGCCGGTCCCACCAGCGCAGCTCAGTTAACCAGGGACAGACCTGTCCCTGTTAGGGGCCCTTGGGAGGAGAGTGTACCTCCAGGTAAAGCGGTCTTCTGTGCCGGATTCCCTAGGCCAGAAGTGTCTGCTCCTCCCAGAAGAGAGATGAGCTTCCCCAGACTTCCTATCCCCCAAGCTCCGCTCCCCCTCCCCCTAGAGCAAAAATAAGTCCTCCTTAGCCAGGTGAAAGCCCAGGATTTCGGTTGCCAGAGGACTCCGAGGTTTCTGTTGTCAGGGCCAAGGAGAAAGACCTCCGGAAAACTTGCTGGTACCTGTGAAACCCCAGGTAGGGGCTCTGGCAGGTCACTGCTCCCGCAATTAAGAGCCCAGACGAATGAATGAATGAAGGTGGTTGACTTGCCCTTCATTCATTCCTCCTGGACCCTGTAGCTGCAGGTGTGCTGTGGTGGGATGGCAGAGCTGGAAGTTCCGGAGCCCTGCAGTTGTGCAAGGCGCAGTGTTACCCTCCCGAAAGGCCGGTACAGACCGAGCAAGGCTGGTGTTTAGATGAGATGATGATATGGCTGTGGTTTTCAGCCTCTTCGTAATGAAAAGAGGAAAAAACACACACACAAACTCACTCTCTCTCTCTCTCTCTCTCTCTCTCTCTCTCTCTCTCTCACACACACACACACACACACACACACACACACACACACACACAGGGCTGGGCAAAAGTAGATCTACTGTGCCATCGTGACATTCTTTTTGAGTAAATAAAGCTGTTGTCATAAGCTGCATGTCTTTTTCCAGAGGAACAACTATTAACCCACTTTTGCCCATAAAAGAGTATATTTGCCTGTAAATATACTATATAGAATGGAAGACACAATTAGCCCTAAATGTAGCTGAAACTGTGCCAGTTCACCGTTACACTATATTGTTTTATTTTAGGAATTCAAACCTCCTTTATTTCTTGGCATAGGTAGACTAGGTGAAGCAGAGAATTTCGGAGGGGAATTACTGTTTTCTGCATTTGCAAGAGGGGGGGGGAAAGATAGTCTGTCCTTTTGATTTTACCTAACGCTATTAAATATTCAGCTCTGCAGAAGTCTGGTTTACCAGAAATCTGATCTGAGCTGGAGTCTCAGGTACCAGGACAGACACAATTGGTGCTATTGTTTCCTGTAGCGCCCCCCCCCCCCCCCCCCCCCACACACACACACACTCCTGGACAGTGAAGTCGCTGACACAGAGGAATGCCCTCCCTGGGGCCCCTGGGTTTATAGGAAGAATGTACACAGTTTCCACTTCCTGGGCCCCAGGCAAACTTCCTAAGAAGGAGCCTTTCTTTGTGATTTGCTAAATGACTTCAACCTGTTCTAACTACAAAGAGGCTTTCGGAATAAACAGTCACTATTTCGGTTGTATTATTTATTCGCCTTGACGGCCCATGAATCAACACAAGCATGTTATGGGTTACAATGTGCTGGACATCGAGTGGGCTTCACCTGAGTTCCGGCCAAAGATGAAAAGTACGCTAGGGTTTGGCTAAATCTGAAAAGTGAAGTGTATGCTTATTTGTCTGGGATAAGGACAGGAAAAATAAATAAATAAATAAATATATATATATATATATAATTATATATATATAATTGAAGATTTTAGAGGGAATTTAAAAGTCTTTAGAAGTAGTTGTTTCAAATCTTTTGAACTGAGATAGTTACATCAAAATCACATGACCATGTATTCACTGAAAAAAGTTCATGATGGCAAAAGGTTACTATCAATCTAATTACATGTTTAATTGAACTTACCTTTTACAAGCATGAAAATTGACCTGCGTTTGGAAAACAAGATCCTGTGTGTGTTTCCATTCAATTTTAGAAAATACTTGGTGTGTCTGGGTTTTCGGCTTATTAATGCATCCATCGAACCAATACTTCCTGAGTGTCCCTCCTGTAGAAAACCACGTTCTGTGTTGGAGCCTCAAGGGGACCCAGCCCTGTGTAAATAGTGCACATTCCTGTCCTTTTGGAATTGGCGCAACATTGGAATCCTCCAGGACACTGAGACCATAGACTAGGAACCACATCAATGATCATCAGATTTGACAGTGATTTAAACCAGCTTAGTTTCAAACCACATATTGTCTTACACTGACGTAAATAATTTGTAAAGGAACTTGTGTGTTATTCGGGTCAGTGGTTTTCTCTTCTTTCTTTCTTTTTATATATTTCAAGGTTTTATTTAAGGGCAATGATCCAGGATGGATTTAGATTTTGAAAGCAGCCACATCCACGGACTGCACATAGTCCTCACAAGCAGTGATCCACTCCTCCAGCGTGACTATTCCCAACTTTATCGTCTTCCGTCACACACTATTATTCGAAGTTTTTAAACTTCCATGTCCTATTGGAACTAGTATAGAAGAGCCCCAGGCCAAGCTGTCTGCGTGAATGCTCCTGACACGATCCTCTAATTTTGCCATTTCCATCTCATCATTCCCCGGTTTCATCTCCAATAAGATGGAAGACTTGACCACAAGTGCAGGTTTTTTGGCTTTCTTTGACTCCTGCTGCCCAACATGTTCTTCCCTTAGCCTATTCTCTTCTTCACTTTCCTCCTCCTCCTCATCAGATCCAAAGAGATCAATGTCATCATCATCTTTAGTATCTGTAGCTCCACTCCCTGTGGTGTCTTCCACATCAGCAGGGCCATGCTCGTCCAAAGCTACCTTCGCTCCAGGCAGGCTGGCCTTGTCGCCTTGTCCTCTTTGTAGGACTTGATGTGATTATACCAACGTGGGGGATGAAACACTTCGGCAGGTGGTAGGCCGGCGATGGCTTCGAATACTGCCACGTCTGCTTGTGACGGCACAGAGCCCTCGATGGATCTGGCTCTTGTCTGCAGGTAGTTGTTGAGCACCTGGAGACCAATGAGCCTATACAGATCTCCAAACCCCATGGTGTTGGCTAATTCAGGAGTTGGGCAGCTGCAGAGGAAAGGGATGCACAGGCAATCAGTGCCAAGCAATAAGGGGAGTGGGAAGGAATGCTTTCTCTTTTGCTTAGATTGGGGAAGGACTTAAGAATCAGGTATTCTGGGTTTAATATTGAAAGGTGAACGTGGAGGATGGTGCATGCAGGAAGGCTAAATAGCCATCTCAGACGGTGATCAAAGAAAATTGAATTTATTTAGGGAAAGGGAATGGGGAGTGGGATATCCAAAGGGAAGGGCTGGCTGCCCAGCACCGACATTGAGTCAATGATGGCAGCCAAAATTCACTTGAGACAGTAAACAAGGAAGGGCATAGACAAGGCAACAGGAGAGTGTAGGCTGGGCTGCTCTGGTTCACTGGGAAGCCAGAGAAAAGGGGGCGTTAGAGACAGTTCAGGGGTAAGCCTGGGATGAGCTGCCCATTGTTCCCTTGGTTGCCAGTCTCATGTGCTCCCTTAGAGGCTGGAGGATATGTGCCAGTGGGAAATGGCAAGGGTGTGCTTCTTGGAGGGAGAACACGCATTGGGTCGTTTGCCTTGCATGTGGAGGTCTTAGAGGAGGTCTCAAGGAGGGTTTTAATGGAATAGTCATCAGCATTCCAGGCGTGCTCTTCTAGGATCCTGGTCTCTACTGATTGGTTGGTGCCAGGGCTGAGTGGGGGAATGGAGGGTGGGGAAAGTGAGGGGGTGATGTGTGGGTGGGGAGGCCATTAGTCAGTGTAGCTGGTCCTGAGGTAGCCACAGTGCCATTTGTTTGGTTTTGCTGACTTTCCGGACCTGGAGCGGAAATACAACTGAGGCCTAAATGTTATCATTAGGGAAGAAAAGGTCACATGACCAGTGATATGCTAAGGGAGGATAGGTTACCCTGGGGGCAAGGTTCTTGTTTTCCCAGTGTGCCTCTAGCTAGGCATTCCTTTCTGCCCAACAGAGTTTTTGTACCTGCCCATCATCCTGGAGGTCTGTCTAATAAATATTATGAAATATTGAGATATTAAACCTAAAATAGCTAACTATTAATTTTATATAAATTTCATAAGAACTAAACTTTTAGTATTTGATGTCAATAATTTAGGAGGAAGAAATGAATGAAAAACTTCAAATTGAGAAAATTCTATGCATCAAATTATATTTTCCTGTATATTATGACAGCAATTATATTTCCTCCCAGAGGTAAAGAGTAACTTTATTCAAATCATTCTTGCCTCTCCTCTTTTTTCCCCTCCTCTTAAAAACAAAACAAAAAAAAAAAAACAGCTTTATTAGAGGTATAACTTATATACTGAAAAGTATATTCAAGTGTATAACTCAATGATTTTTAGTAAATTTACAGAATTGTACAACCATCACCACAATCCGGCTTTAGAACATTTTTATTATCTCAAAAAGACCCCACATGGCTGTCTGCTTCACTGACCCTCAGCCCCAGCAGTCACTAAAATGAAAAGTCTTTTTACATTGGACTTTTCTGTACACTTTATACAAATGGAATCATACAATATTTGGTCATCAGCATCTGTTTTTTTCCACCTAAAATAATGTTTTTGAGGTTCATTCAGGTCATAGAACATTTCAGTGTGTTTTTATTGCTTATATTCATTCTGCTGTATGGTTGTGACTCATTTCTGCAATTACATTTAGGTAGTAAGGCAGACATGTTGGTCTAAGCTTCTGTGGTAGCATAATTTGAAAATAACTGAGGGGAGCCACATTTATGAAAAAATATATTCCTGGTATGAATTGCTGATCTTTCCAGAATGTGACATAACTGATCTTTCTGTGATACTCCCATGAAAATTGTGAATAGTAAACCTCATGCTGATAGAAAGAAGCCCAAGAAAATGTTTTTAAAATGTTCCTTTTGATCTTTGAGAAACACAGAGAGAAAAATATTGATCAGTTTCCTCCTATACACCACCAAGAATGAACCTCAACCTGAGCTTGTGCCCTGACCAGGAATCAATCACACTCAACCAACTGAACCTTGCCAGTTAGGGCTATTCAGTCATTTAGGTTGAACTTGGAAGATGTTTAACTCTTGACATTAATATTTGCAAAGAAGATACATCTCCTTTGCTACGTTTCATCCCAAATGTATGCACTTAAAGTAAGAGAATTTTGATGATCCTTAGACCTAACAGTGACAATTGAATTACTCTTCGAAATATAAGCACTTCTTGGTAACACATTTCAGTGGTACACTTAACATAAAGCATGAATCATCCATACCCTTTAGCCAATAATTAGGAGGGAGAGTATCTAGAATTAAAAGCTTTTAGTTTTAGTATTCTGTTGTTTCTATGACTGCTAAAGACTTAAACTGATATATCTGTTCTTTTATTTACAAAACCAGGCACTTGTTTGAACTCTTTCTAGTTAGATCAGAGAAAATCCAAAACAGAAGAAATGCCACTCCTTTTTTTCCTGTGTGTGGTTTTTAAATTATTTTTTTAGGAGCTAGACAGAAATTGTAAATGACCCAGATTCCTGTGAGGTGGTGCTGTTTTCCTGTATGTTTCCTATAGAACAGAGCAAATAAGAACCTCCTAACATTGCATAGGCATTGACCTTGGGATGCCTCTCTTAGCAATGGGGAATCCTGAACAGCAGTCAGTCACAGCTGTTTTCTCATACACCCATTCATCCTGCTCTGTGCCAACTACTGAGGAGCAAATTCATTTTAGGAGGTTACACTTGACAGTTTATGCTTACAGATCTTCTTAAGGCGATTTCTTTAGGTAAGGAGAAACCCTTCCATGAAGAGTTGGCAGAATCTGTGACACTAAAGAGAAGACAGTTGCATATGTCTTTGAATGTGTGTTAGGGCTGAAATTGCAAGTTCCTAATTAGGGTGTGGGGGAGAAGTCACTAACATAACTTGAAGATCTACTGTATTGACAACTTAGAATGCAAAGGATTCTATCTTTAAACTTCTAAAATTTGCAAACAAGAGACTCTAGGTTAAATAGTACAGTTTTCCAAAACTGGCTGTGCTTCCTTGGAGCTCAGTTTTTTGGGATGAAATATCAAAACAACTTGCTGAAACTCCTGGTTTGGAATACTACTCTTTTGATGATCTATGTGTAGGTGAATTTATCAGTCTCTGTTGATAACAGTTTTTTGTGTGTGTGTGTGTGTGTGTGTGTGTGTTTTTGTTTTTGTTTTTTGTTTTTAATACTTGGTCAGGGTTTAAACATTTCCAAGACAGATGCATTTTTGTAGCCATACACTGCCAATTTCATTTCAAATGTCTCCTAAGGGTCACGTACCAATCGCAAGAATCTGTCTTCGTCCTTTTCACTTTCATAGACTTTGAAATTGGCATGAGCACGCTTCTCTAGAGGAAGGTTCCATCAGCATAGAGCTGTAAGCATCTTCTCATTATTTTGATGAGCTCACTGGTCATAAAACTTTGTTGACATGATCCCATATAAGAAACTTGGTTTTACTAGAACAGAAGCTACTTCTCACCCTTGTATTTTTCTGTTACCACCTGGATTTTGGTGGTATGCTGCCCTCAGATCAGTCTGACATCTTCCTAGAGCAGTATGGTGGGTGGAGCCTGCCAAGCACAGGGTCCTTGCTGCTTCAGGCAGTGGCCAGTCTGAGCAGACTCTAGTCATTGGCCGGAGAGTCTACATACAAATGGGCAACTGCAAAGTATGATAACATGCTATGCCTCTAGAAAATGATTAGAAAAGTGATGGATAGATGAGACAAGGAGTTCTAGTTTCATGAATTAGATTTAAATCTTGTTGCAAATATTCTTACATAGTTTTTCTATATTACCTCTTCCTTTTCCAGTTTAGTAAATAATAATTATAATTGACTTTCTTAAGATGTTTAATTTCCTTTGTTTCTACCATCATATTGAATGTCAGGTTTTACTGACTATTCTTATAGCAGCAATAATTCTATTATCAGCAGCCCTGTTACCTGCTTTTTAACGATCCTGATTCCACCGCTGGTTTGTTTGTTTTTTGCTATATTTACTTTTTTGGGGGTGAATAATTTGAATGGAGAAAAGAAAATCAAGCTAATTGTGGCTTCCAGTTAGTTCTGATAAAGTCAGTGAAATCCTTGGATTCTGAAATCTGAATTGTATTTTGCTTTTTTTAGGGTACTATTGGATTATTATTTTTTAAACAAAAGTACATACATTCACCCTTTTTCAATGTCGAGTTCTGTAGTTTTTGACAAATGGTTCCAGTCATTGAACCACCATCACCATGAGGACATAGAACAGTTATATCACCCACCTTCCTGTCTCCCCTCACCCCCCAAATAAATACCCTGGCTCTCCTTTGTAGCCAGCTTCTCCCTCACTTCTGTCCCCAGGTAATCACTGATCTGTTTGCTGTCTCCAAAGAATTTTCTAGAATGTTATATAAATGAAACTAAAGGATTATGTATCCTTTTGTATTTGGCCATCTTTAGTCAGCATAATGAATTTGAGATTCATCCATATTGTTGGCCATAACAGTAGTTTATTATTTTATATTGATGAGTAGGATTCACCTGTTGATGAATATTTGATTTTTTTTCTAGTGTTTGGCAATCATAAACATTGTGTTTTATGGGACATAAACTTTCATGTCAGTTGGTAAATACCTAGGAATGGGATTGCTGGGTTGTACAGTGTGTGCTTAACTTCATAGGAAGCTACCCAGGGTTGTTCAATGTGATGGCACATTTTTCATTCCCACCAGCAACAGACAGGAGTTTCAGCTTCATGTCCTCACCCACACTTGGTATTGTCTGTTTTTCCCCCTCACTGGGTAATTTTTAAAACTAAGTAAATTACACTGAAGCGAAAGTATTCCAGGCTGAGTTTAGAAAGTTATCACTATTTTATATATTACTGAGTTTTCTACTCAAAGTATTTTTTAAAGCCACAAGAGAAATTTTCCAAAAGGACACTTTCCTTGTAAATATGGTACAAATGACTGAGATAGATGGCAATGACATCTGTTTCTTTTTGTATTTTTTTTCAGTGACAAATCATAAGTGGCTTTTGAAATGATTGTTAATGGAAAAGCCCAAAGCAGGAGGAATAATTTGGCTGATGGGAGAGCAATTGAGTGGGGTCAACTGAGTGTGTCCTTGACACTGTCAAGTGATGTCCTTTTAACCAATGTCCACAATAAGCTGTGAATTTAAGTATTTCTCAACTGCGTATTATGGGTCAGATACTTCAGTGAGCACTTTTTATGTGTTACCTTGTTTAATCCTCATGTAACTCCAAGGGGAAGTCAGCATTGTCATCTGACATTTTCCGTTGAGGCCTAGGGGGTTTAAAAGGGTTCCCAAGGCCACCCAGCCAGTGGGGAAGGAGGACAAAGCCTTATGGGCAGCACCTCACCCAGAGCCCCTGTTTTTAAACCATGAATCCGTACTCCTTCTGTTTGTGGGGTAAATCTATGGGGACAGCACTGTCTGCTCGGGTTCCTGAAGGACACACCTAGGAGCTCACATCGGGAGCTACTAGACTGTTACTTAGTGACTTGCTTTGGAAAACTCTGATTGCTAAACTAGTTTGGGCTCAAGAAACTGGGCCTAGAAATCTATTCAGAATTCAACAGGAGGCAAAGTGGTAAGCTGGAAAGAACCAGCGGATTCATAGGTTGTGATTCATGACCATTATGAAGTATCAGTATTTACTTGGTTGTGTTGAGCCTCATTTCCTCATCTGTGAAATGGAACTAGTAACACCAACCTCTCAGAGTATTTGTGAGGATTGTTAAAGGTAGTATACCCTAGCCTTCATGTGATGGACATGCAATAGACCCTGGGCCCTGCTCCCCACCTCTCCAAATAGGAAGGGATCCAGTGGTTCCCTGTCCTTCTTTGCAGTTTAGTTGCCATATGGGCACTAGGTGAAATCTTCAGCTGCTTTCCAAAATTCTAAATGGACAGATCATTTCATTACAAAGAAACCTGGATTGGTTATCAATCTGTCTGGGTTCAGGTAATGAGGTCATTTTATGACCTTAGAAAACTTAAATCATTTGTCTGTGACTTGGTTGAATTATACATACATATACAGGGAGAGAGATAGAGATATATGGATAATAACTATAGATAGTGTATTCTTATGATTAATTTTGAGAGCATATGGAAAATGATTTCTTGGTAAATGACACAGTACTTTGTCAAGAATCTATATTTGTAGATTGTTTTTCTACCAACATCTTAATCCTCCTCCCTGCCCCCAAACTAATCTGCTTTTATTTCATATGTAGGAGCTTTGTATAGCACTGGCTATGATATAAATGTATGTGTATGTACAAATGAGTAGCATTTGCAAATGAATACAATTAGTTGTACTTTAAAAAACTTACATTATTACTTGAAAACTTACTATTTCGACTTAGTGTTAACATACATGTCTTTTGATATACTGTGCTTCACTTTCCAGGTACATTGCACATTCACCTGAGATTTAGCTAGCTGACACTGGATGTCACCATTGTGCTATGGAATGTGGATGCAGAACAGGTATGCTCTTTAAGACTCAGGAGATTGTCTCTTCAAGAGTTTGGAAATATGTGAGCTTCCCTCCCCCCTCATATAACCTGATTATGCGTATAGCATTTGTATGGTATTGCTCTTTTAGTTTTTAATAACTAAGCTCTATATAATAATGGTCAAGAATGAGGAAACAATAGTTAATATTGTTAGCTCAGAACTGAGAAACTGGAAACTCAGAACCTGTGTCCAAACCAACCAGGGCTCCTGGTTGTAAGCCTAAGTAATTGACTCTGGCTAACTTAAGCAGAAATGGAATTTACTGGAAGAATGTGGAATAGCATCCAGCACTGATGGAGAAACTTGCAAAGATCAGACTTTAGCAAGAGCAGAATAAAGTCCTTCTAGCATTGCCACTGGTCACTAGATACTTCCACTGGCCTTCCTGCCAGGGCACAAGGCACCACCCTGTGCCAGCCTTCTTCCCTTCCCAGAATAATAATGGGATTTTCATTGACTCCAGCTTCCACATTTCTGTTGGCCAATCCCTTACTAGCATTTCCAGGTGACAGTCCTCCGTGGGCTGGGTCTAGGTGTTGTGCCTGTGCTCCAGCCCCAAGGAGGGAGGAAGAACAGGTAAGGCACCTTTTCCTGCAAAGACTCTGTCCAGATGCTGATTCCATATATCTGGGAAGGCGGGTCAAGTACTGAACAATCCAAACATGCCGACCATCCACCATGGAGCTTTTCAATCAGCACTCATGGAACTGAGTTGAGAAGACCACTTACTCACCTGGACTTCATGGCCCCTTCTCTTGTCTGACCTGGAGTTAGCTGCACTTGCCTTGGCTTTGTTCTACTCTGCTTTTCTTTGAGCCCTGAGGAACCCTTATCAGCCAGGAGGACACCTGTTTTAAGTGGCTGTGGTGACAGCTCCTTATGCACATTGGAAGTCTTAAATTTCAGGCTATTAAAAAAAAATCTCTGCTACATTAAAAATAAAAAAGAAAACATGGTAGGCTACACCGTGTTCCTTGTTCTTAGAACACTAAGCAAACTCCAGCCTCTTGTTCTTGCTCCTCCCCCAACAACCTGGAGTTCTCTTCTCCCTGATGGCCACAGGGCTTCACCTCTCTTACCCAAGGCTTTTGCTTAAATGCCTCCCCTTCCCACCCAGTGCCTCCTTTTATTCCCTTCCCTGCTCTGCTTTTCTTCATGACACTTGTTATCACCTCCCATTATTTTCTCTGCATACTACTGTTTTGTACTTTTAGAATCTCTGGCTCACCTCTGTGTCCACAGCTCTTATCACAGCTTTATTTAATAAACACTTCATATATGAATGACTGGATTTAGGGCTAAGTAGGGGAAAGAAACACCTTTGTTAGAATCTCTATTATATAAACAGTGTCTGTGTTAATGTCCTAGGGCTGCTATGATAAAGCCACAAACTGGGGCTTAAACATAGTCATTTCTGTCTCACAATTCTGGAGGCTGGAAGTCCCAGGCCCTGTTGGTGGGACAGGTTCTTTCTAAGGGCTTTGAGGGAGAATCTGTTCTGTGATTCTCACATTCCAGCTTCTGGTGGTTCTCTGGCAATCTGGGGCACTCTTTGGCTTGTAGGCGCACCGCCTTGATTGCTGACTTCCACTTCTCCACAAAGTGCATGTCCGTGTCCACACTTCCCTCTTTATGAACACACCAGTCATATGGGATTAGGGGTCCACCCTGCCCAAGTATGAGTTCATCTTAACGAACTACATCTACAGTGACGCTGTTTTCAAATAAGGTTACACCCTGAGGTACTGAGGGCTGGGCCTTCAACATGTGAATGAGAAAGGGGACATAGTTCAACCCATAACACTGACTTACATGTGTTGATTGTATAATGAGTAACCCATTCTCCTGTAATTAAACAGAGAAATGGGTTTAGTCACTTTAGTCTGGGTGACCAGTGATGTGTTGCTTTATCACAATTCACACTAATGTGTATGAATTGCTTTGTAACCTGTAAACTGTTCATTAGATGTCAGCATAATCAGTTGGGATATTGATGGATTATTGATGCTTTCTCAAGAAAGAACCAATACAATGGGTTTGCTGCTCTTTAGATTCCCCCAGAGTTTCTCTTATAGCCCAGCTCAATCTCAGACTGTTTAAAATATTACCTGGTTCTTCTCTGCCACTGGTGGTTTTATATTTTATTTACTCATTTGATAAACATGTATGAATCATTTATTATGTGCTAGGCACTGTTATAAGTGCTTAAAAATAAATGTTAACTCAAATAATTCCATTACAGTTTATTTGTACTCTTAATTATTCATGTTATTAATATTACCTGAATGTTACTAATAAGGAAACAGAGGCACAGAGAGGTTAAGAAACTTGCTCAAGGTCACACCTCTGCTGAGTGACAGGGGCAGGCCATGAAGCTAGATAGTCTAGATCCAAAACTTTTCTTTGTAGAAAGCTCTTTCTTCACAGAAAAGTCTCACGGAAAAAAAATCAGTGTGAGACGGAACAAAGCAGAGCTTCTTTGGTTCAAATGAGAAGCCAAAGCCCAGTCTGCTCAGCACCTCCTGGTCCTCTGAGAGTCCTTTCTGCACCGCTTTGATCTAGGAAATAACACCTCTTGGAGGGATGCCACTTGTAAGCTGCCTTCAATCCACTCTAGCAGAAAACAAATAAAATTCGTTTCTCACTTTAATTAACTGATTGTGTTTTATGTTGAAATTTTTATCTGCCTAATCTACTTCTGGCAGAAATAAAATGCTAAGATGGATTTTCCCCAGGAAGCTAATGCCATATGGCAATTTGGACTTTGTGAGCTTAAGTTCCCCTTGGGTTTCTTTATACAAATCAAGGGCTGTGGTTGAAAAAGTTTTCTGAGCCAAACAGATAAATGGAATTTGATTTTATATGAGTAGAGTTGGGTATAAACCTTGCAACCAGCTGCTTATCTTCTGTGGTCATCAATAATATAAAATAATAGGAGCAGCAATATCGGCAGTTACTCTCCATTGACTGCCTTCTACCCTGTTTCCCTGAAAATAAGACAGTGTCTTATATTAATTTTTGCTCCCAAAGATGCACTAGGTCTTATTTTCAGGGGATGTCTTATTTTTCCATGAAGAAGAATACGGTACACATTTATTGTTAAATGAAAATAAAGGAAATTTATTTATTACCTGTATACGGTACGGTAGTACGGTAGTTGTCAACACAAACCAGACAAACTGTGAATCCTACAGTATCAAGAATTTACTCATTTATTCAATGACAATCATGTCATCATCTTCTGGAACATCATCATAACAATCCAATTCCTGAATTTCCTGGTGAATTTCTTGTGACTCCATTTCTTTCAGAATCAGTGGACCAAATCTCTCATTTTAGTCTAAGGAGGCCTTATTTTCAGGGGGATGCCTTATATTTCACTCAGAAGGAAACCTGTAAGTAGGTCTTATTTTCAGGGAAACACGGTACTAACAGGGATTTAAAAAAAACAAAAACAAAAAAACGTCGTTTTTACAATTCGAGGCGTTTCCACCCCTATTTTACAGATATGTAAATTGAGCCTGGGATTTCTTGGCACTTCTTGAAGATAACCCAACAGTGAGTGGAGAAAACAGTGATTAAGGAGCTGCAAACCTAGATATTAAGAATAAATGATACAAAAGAAAACATATTTTGAATATAAAACATGAGGCCCATCGTGGTTTTCGAATTATGGAAGACTGAGAGAAATCAGTGAAATCCATTCTTAAGAGTGATTATTTCCTATGATGACACACCTACTATCATTTGTTAATATTTGTTAATATTTATAATGCATAACATAGTAAAAAAAAAAAAAAAAAAAAAAGGTAAATCCCTCAAATGGGACTATAGATCAAGGGGCAATGAACTGGAGAACCAAAAGCAACTCAGACCAAATCCATGTTTCGCTTGCCTCTGTTTTCCCACTGGTTTTGCTCCCACTCCTCGCCACATCCTAACCTAGGATTTTTCTGTAAAGGAGCAGATTAAACAGTGTTTGTCGCATATTTTCTCTGTCACAGCTACTCAACTCTGCGGTGTGTAGTGCTAAAGCAGTGTAGACAATATGTAAATGAATGGCTCTGATTACAGAAAAGCTTTAAGAACACTAAGTTGGAACATCATATAATTCTCATGTGCCATAAAATGTTATTCTTTTTTTTTTTTCTTTATGGTTGAAATTTGAAAACCATTCTTAGTCTATAGGCTGCCCAGAAAGACAGGAAGTCAGCTCAGGCTCATTGGCCTGGTTTGCTGACCACCACTCTGGCCTGCCCACTCCACTTCCGGTTTCCAAACACATTGTGTGGGTTTGTTTGTTTGTTTTTCTTTCTCTTTAATTTTTATTGAATTTATTGGTTAACAAAATTATATAGTTTCAGATGCACTGTTCTATAATACATCACCTGTATGTTGTGTTGTCAAAGTCAATGTCTCCTGTCACCATTTATGCCCTCTTTATCCTCTCCTCCCTCCCCACTCCCCACCCCCATTCCTTATGGTAATCACCACACTGTTGTTGATGAGCTTTTTTATTTATTTTATTTATTTTTTAAAATATATTTTATTGATTTTTTTTACAGAGAGGAAGGGAAAGAGATAGAGAGCTATTGTAGAAACATCGATGAGAGAGAGAGAGAGACATCAACCAACTGCCTCCTGCAACTCCCTACTGGGGATGTGCCTGCAACCAAGGCACATGCCCTTGACCAGAATCGCAGGCCAATGCTCTATCCACTGAAAGCAAAACCGATTTTGGCTTTATTTGTTTTTGTTTTGTTTGTTTTGTTTTGTTTAGTCCCTTCCCTTTTTTTTCACCCAGCCCCCAAGCCACGCCCCTCTAACAGCTGTCAGTCTGTTCTCTGTACGGATGAGTCTGTTTATATTCTGTGAGCTTATTTTGTACTCTGAGCATTTTGATGTTGTTTTGGACTGGGAACTTAATCCCAGAAGAGACTTAAGAGGACCCAGTAACAGAAGTACTTCCACTCAGATTCTGTAACTGCAGAGTTGCAGCTGCCAACTCAACTGCAGTCTAAACAAATAGAAGTCAGCGTGGCTGTCTAAGAAGATTTAGAATAAAATGGAAAATTCTTGGCATACTCCGTCAATTTCATCGAAGATTAAAGGATAAATGCAAAACTCTGCATTATCCCCAAAGACTATCCAGCTGTAAACTGATGCTAATAAATATGAAAATTTTTTCTGTGTTAACTGCATAGGCTATTGCTAAACTTTAAATAATTGTGTTTGTTGTGTTTTTTTTTCTCACTAGGGAAGCCAGCCTTAATGTGATGGAAACACCCTTGAACTTGGTATCTAGAAAACAGAAGTTTGAGTTTGCACTCTGTTAGTTTTACTGTGATCTCAGGTAAGTTAACATCACCTGTGAGAGTCTTTGCTTCCTTATTGGGAAAATGAGATAAATAATCCTACCTCACAGGACTTTTTATTTTATTCTTTAGTTTGTTATGGTTTATTATGAAAATTTCCCACAGACACCAAGTAGGTAGAGGAGTATAATGAACCCCATCTGCCCAGCTTTGACAATACCTTGCATTTTACCAAAACTTTTTTCATCTTTGCCCACCCCACTTTTTTCTCTGTATTAGAATATTTTAAAGCAATTCCAAATATATTACTCACTGCAAATACTTCAGAATGTATGACTAACAGATAAGATTAAAAAATATATTATTGATATCAAAAAGGAAGGGAAAGGGAGAGAGATAGAAACATCAATGATGAGAGAAAATCATTGATGGACTGGCTTCCTGCATGCCCCCTCCTTGGGATCAAGCCTGCAACCCCGTCATGTGGACCAACCAGGAATCGAACTGTGACCTCCTGGTTCATAGGTCAATGCTCATTTGTTGAACCACACCAGCTGGACAAGATTTTCAGTTAAAAAATGTCATAAATTCATTATCACACCTAGCAAAACTACAGTGAGTCTTTAACATCATCTATTATCCAGTCAGTATTACAATTTTCCCAATTGCCTCAAAAATGTCTTTATATAGCTGGTTTATTTGAATCAGGAGACAAAGACTATTTATATATTACATTTGGTCATATGTCTCTTAAGATTCTTAATTTATAGCACTTTCTCTTTGCCTCATCTTTCTTTATATAATTTATCTGTGGTAGGAACTAGTTTGTTCAGTAATATTTCACATAATCTGGATTTGGCTGATGGCAACCTTTACCCTTGTAGAGTCATTAAACCAGTGGTTCCCAACCTTTTTTTGGCCCTGTCTCACCTAAGCATCCCTAAAATCCTGGTGCCCACCCGGTGACATAGAATTCTTACTATTCAAAAAGTGGACTCGTATTAACATGGAGGAAGCCTAAATGGCCATTAACTTGGTAATAGGTACTGAGGAAGAAAACACTAAGAAATTGTTAATAATAATAATAATAATAATAATATGAAATAATATGAAAAAATAGCAAATAACATTTCAAAACATAATAGAGAATTGAAATGCATAAATATGTCACAATATATATTTACTAGGGGCCCAGTGCATGAATTCATGCACTTGAAAAAAATTGTGGGCTGCGAGGCTGTGGTGGGCACAGGAGTGGGTCTCAGCCCATCCTCCAAGCCCTTGCCTGGCCCCTCCCACTTAGGCCCTCCCCATTCCCCCATCTCCTGTCTTCCCACAGCCCCGCTCCTGTCACCACCACTCCCACACACTGACAGTGCCTGCTCACACTCACTGACAATTGGGGCTGGCACCAGCAGTGGGTGCAAACAGGGCTGATGCCAGCAGTGGGTGTGAGAGGTGGCTGCCAACCTCAACCACCCCTCAGAAACAGGGGGAGATGGAGAAACCCTGAGAGGCACTGGGGACCAGCAGCCACTGCTTGCACCCGCTGATGGTGCCTTGCGATCACTGCTGGTGCTGGGTTCCAGCAGCGGGTGCAAGCAGGGCCAGCGCCAGTAACAGATGCAAGTACCCAGTGCAACTGTGGCACACGGGAGCAAAGAATTTTTAGTAACCACCAGAGGCTCGCCCCCCAATGACAACAATTGATGCCCGCCTTGGTCTGGTGCCCCTATTCCAGCTGATATCTGCCATGTTCTGCATGCTGCCAATGCCCTTACCTAATAAACTGGATTAGATTCTGCCTGCTGCCAATGCCCACTATGTTTCATGTGAACCCCTGGTGGTCAGCACATGTCATAATGACTTATTGTTCAGTTGTTCTACTGTTCAGTCTATTTGCATATTAGAGTTATATAGGACTAGAGGACCGGTGCACAAAATTCGTGCACAAGGGTGGGGTGTCCCTCAGCCCAGCCTGTACTCTCTCCAATCTGGGACCCCCAGAGGGATGTCCAATTGCCCATTTAGGCTCAAACCTGGTGGAATCGAGCCTAAATGGGCAGTCAGACATCCCTCTCACAATCCAGGACTGCTGGCTCCCAACTGCTTGCCTGCCTGCCTTCCTGATTGCCCCAAACTGCTTCTTCCTGCCAGCCTGATCACCCCCTAACCACTCTCATGCCAGCCTGTTTGCCCCCAACTTCCCTCCTTTGCCAGCCTGGTCACCCCTAACTGCCCTCCCCTGCAGGGTTGATCATCCCCAACTTCCCTCCCTTGCAGGCCTGGTCCTCCCAACTGCCCTCCCCTGGTGGTCAGCACATGTCATAATGACTTATTGTTCAGTTATTCTACAGTTCAGTCTATTTGCATATTAGACTGCTGGCCATCTTGTGGTGGCCATCTTGTGTTCACATGGGGGAAGGATCTTGATCTTGTGTGTTGAAGTGATGGTCAATCTGCATATTATTCTTTCATTAGATAGGATAGAGGCCTGGTGCATGGGTGGGAGCCAGCTGGTTTCCCTGAAAAGTGTCTCAGATAAGGGTGCAGGTTCCCTTGGGGTGTGGGGCAGCCTGAGCGAGAAGCCTGTGGTGGTTTGTAGGCCAGCTATGCCCCCTGGTGACCCAAGCAGAGGCCCTGGTATCTGGAATTTACTTACCTTCTACAATTAAAACTTTGTAGCCTGGAGCAGAGCCAAGCCTTCTGCTTGCTCCATGATGCCGCCATATTTATTTAGATTTGTTTACCTTCTACAATTGAAACTTTGTACCCTTGAGTGGAAGCTTAGGCCAACTAGGGCAGGCGGAAAGCTTTACTTCTTTCATTGCCTAGGAAACCGAAGCCTCCCTCCTGCTTTCTGTGGCTGCAGCCATCTTGATTGGGGTTAATTTGCATACTTGCTCTGATTGGCTGTGGGTGTGGCTGGTGAGTGTAGCGAAGGTATGGTCAATTTGCATATTACTCCTTTATTAGATAAGATATATTGTATATGATGCTTCTAGAACCATAAGAAATGTAAAAAAATTCACTAAAAATAACTCATCTTCAAATTACCATCCTTAAAAATTAAATTGTTCCCTGTGGGGGGTGTGCACCACATAGAGAACTACTGCATTAAGCACTTTCCCCTTGTTCAGATATTTACTGCTATTAGATATAGAAGCTTGATTAGATTCAGGCTCACTTTAAAAAAATCATATTTCATAGGTGATGCTTCCTATTTGTGATTGTACCACATCTAGAGGACAAAATGTCTTTATTCACAACTATAAACCTACATTTGCCACACTCTGTATATAAGTGATATATGTATATATACATATTATAGTTATACTAGAGGCCTGATGCATGAAAATTCATGCACTGAAGAGGGGATCCCTCAGCCCAGCCTGCCCCCTCTCACAGTTCGGGAGCCCTCAGGGGTGGGAGGTGACCCAGTGATCAAGGAAAGGTGACACCCCCATCACACCTCTGCTGCTGCCACTGCCAGTAGTGCAAGCCTCAACCAGCCCTGGTTACCTGAGCCATCCAAGGCTTGCCTGTACCTCGGACCAGCCCTGCGTGACTGGGGGGCTGAGGGGACTGGGGACTCCAGACGTAGGCATACCAGTGGGGCTGAGGGGACTAGGCACTGCCATCTTGTGGCTGTGGGTACTGCCATCTTTGATGGCAGGTCAGTCAATTAGCATATTCCCTCCTTATTGGCTGTGGGTACCACCATCTTTGCGACAGTGTGAGGGTCAATTAGTATATTCTTCCTTTATTAGATAGGATTATTTTATTGCCACAGCTATTTATTAAGCACTTACAATGTGCTAGAATATAAAGATGAAGAAGCCACAGTATCTACAGTCTAATATGATGTGGATTAAAAAGAAAAATGTCACATATTTTCTTCTCAGATAATCTTTAAGTTTCTAATCAAGGATTGTTTCAGCTAGCGTTGTTTTAATATTAAGTAAGTTCCTGGATTTATGGGTATATATATATACATATCAATAAGTTATAACATTTTCTACTATACAGTATTTAATTATAGTGACAGCACAGTTTACCCACCATATAATGATATCACCAAATGAGTTATTCTAACTGATTTATGTGTTCCTAAAGCCAGAATTCACCATGACAACAGTAACAGTGACCACAGAGGTTCCCTCAAGGGGTAAGAGAGAAGACAATCCTGCCTCGTATGAGTCCACCTCTGCTCACATTATTGAAGAAACCGAATATGTAAAAATGGTATGTGGGTACCAGACATCATGTTAGCATGATATTATTATTATTATTATTTTTACAATAAAGTAATACAGATTAGTGGGCTTTGTTTCTCCTTCCTGAGAATGGATAAGAACAAACCTAGTTTGGCAAAGGACAATCTTGATAATTGGAGTTTGAACAGCTGTTTAGTATCCCCTTGAGGCTATGAGCCCTCTGTTTTCATACTTGGAGTAAAATAGAATGAACCAGGGGGTTTGGAACATCTACCAGCACTTAATTTGTCCCATAGTATTCACCACTGCAGTCCCTACTAGGTATTTTTCTTTTCAGTTGTTTAAGGAATGTTGGTACCACATTCCCTAGGAGATGTTTACATTTTCTGCTGACTTCCTCTCTCTCCTTACCTTGTTCCTTCTCACTGCTCAGGGTTGCTATCTGCCAACAACTACATGTTGGCATGTTCCTTCATGAAAACTGTGAACTCTTGTAAGATTCAAATGATAATGGGTAACAAAACTTACATTCATAGGAACTGTTTCTTAGAACAGATGGAAAAATGTGGACATAGAGAGTTTGTAAGATTGATATCTATTAATTCATCTTTGAGTGTCTTGCAATTCCATAGGTCACCAGGCCAGGGGGCTTATACTTCATGCATAAATTTGTATCATCTCCATTTAGTAATTATTCTCTACTAATTACTAAATAGCAATTATTCTCTAGTAATTACTAGGTAGTAATTATTTTATAGTAATTACTAAATAGTCATTATTTTGTAGTGATTACTAAATAGTAATTGTTTTACACTAATTACTTAATAGTAAATTAGTACTAAATTACTATATAGAAAAGCAGAACTAAGTAGAATTATATACTAATTACTAAGTAGTAATTATTTTGTCGTATAGTATTCATTCAGATTGTATTTTAGATTTGACAGAGAATTATAAGGATCAAGTGCTTCATTTTCTGCAATCTAAACAATATTAGCCTTAATGCAAGTTAGATTGATGGTAGTTATTTAAATCTGACATCAGTATATATGTATTATTGTCTAGATAAATCAGGTACACTGCTACTGGTATATAGAAAAAAAAAGTATTGGACATTAAATGCCTTTAAAACAAAAGAAAATATTTTTATTTCCTAGATTCGAGCTACTCTGGAAAAGATCCGTAATCAAATGTTTAAAGATGAAACTGGACATAGCGATACAAAGCACAAACTAGACGCAAAGGTAATGAATTTATCAAAATGCACTACCTTTATTTCTTCAGTAAATAAGCATAAAACCAAATAGAAATTATTCTTTGATGCTTTGAATGATGAATGTTAAATATTTTATCACTATCTAAAGATGTTAATGGACATATGCATTAAATATTTAACCACAGATAGCATTAAGATCATATTGGAATGACCAGGCCTTATCTGAATATTTTAAACTGGGCTTATTTATCTACAGTATATGGGAAGTTGTCAGCCCACCCAGGACACATGGCAGCAACATTTCTCAATGCCAGACAGAAGCACAAGCTTTTAGGTTTACCTGGGCCTCAACAATGGCCATGCAGTTGAAGCCATTAGGCTGAGTGACTAGACAACTGATAACTTTAAAAGACCCAACTCCCCTGTGATATTCTTAAGGTTGAGCAATCTTCCCTTAGCCTTGTTTGGATTATTCCACGTTAAATGTCATCTGAACCAAATGCACGTCGTCAGCATCAATATCATCCTCTATGTTGTCTGGTCATGGAGAATACCAAAGATGGGTGCAAAGATGAACATAGTCTCCTGTATCATCCTCAGCTCCCAAACTAACACAACTAGCTTCAATTGTTTTCTTAAACTAAGTGTTCTGAAACTGAAGGGGAAAAAAAGTTAAGTTTATGAATGATGGAAACAATAAAAAATTCAGTTTTGGTTCTGTTGAATTGCCATTACCTCCAAGTGAAAGTTTCTAGTGAGTGGGCTGGATATCTGTTTCTGGAGTGAAGGGTAGAGGTCTGGGATAGAAGGTCCAGGCTACAGGGTAGAGATTTGAGGGAGTAACGATAATGCTTAAACTCCTGAAAGTGGAAGAGATCACCAAGCATGTGAGTGTGGATAGAAATGAGAGAAAAATCTAAGATCTAAGTCCTGAGATTTTCAATGTTAGATCCTAGGAAAAAGAGGAAGAATCATCACAGGAGACTGAGAAAAGAGACTAGTGAATTAGTGAATTAGGAGGAAAAACAACAGAAATGGAGTCACTAAATACAAGAAAAAGTGTCTCAGAAAGAGGAGTTGGACTACTGTGTCAAATGGTGTCCATGGGCCAAGTAAATTGAGGACTGAACATTGACCATTGGCTATAACATTGGGGATGCTTTGAGGACCTTAATAGTTTCTTACAAATGGAGATGAATTGGTTTGCCAGTGTCTCTGCTCAGCCAGCCATCTCAAACCACAGGTTAGCAGACAAATGAAGCATCAAAATATCAACCTCCTCCCTTTGGTATCTGGGTAATGTCACAGAAGATATTTAACTATAACAATCTAGGACTCTGTTGTTACAGAACTAAAATTTGTATGCCCAATGCTTTGAAATGCCAAAACTCAAAACATCAGAGCTCAAAGTAAGAAGTTTACTGACCAAGAAGGCACCAACTGAGAAGATGGAAATAGTACCCCAAGTCCATCTTCAAAGTATACAGAGCTCAGGCTTCTTTTATGTCAAGAGAAGGGGGAATTGGAGTGGCAAGAGGTGCTTGATGACCACAGATATTTGGGCAAACAGTAGGGGTCCAAGAAAGATTGTGAGACTTCTTTGTTCTTAGTCTGTTCACTCTAGTTGATGTGATTCAGGGTCACAAGGTTCCTGCAAATCTTTGGGAAACAATCATTTTTGTTTATACTTCCCCTTACCTTCCTGGAAGAGGCCACTCCTAGTCAGGGCTCTTTTTTTAAAAAACTCAGGCTGCAAGCAGAACTCCTCTAATGATTAGGATGTCGATCTGAAGGAGCTATTAACCTGAAGGCCATGAGGGAACAAAGTGGACTTGAATAAGATGGAGTCAAAGAGGCCAAGTATTTCACTCTAAAATGCTCCTCTCAGAGTGCGGTCTGCATTCCCAGCAGCAGCAGAGAGCTCGTTAGAAGTGTGGCATCTAGAGCTCTACCCAGGACCTCCTGAATCCCGGAATCGGAATCTGCATTTAACCAGATCTATCACCAAGTGACTCGTATGCACATTAAAGTTTGAGAGGCACTGATCTATGATCTTTGAGGTTAACTACCACTGACAGTAATTACCTTCCATAAGAGTTTTCCCGTCAAATATTCTCTAATAAATTAAAAAGGAAAACAATGCCTATTCTATATATGAGAATATTCATGAGGGTCTGAAGTACACAAAACAAAACCATGGCAGAATCAATTATTTATGTAGTCCATCTATCGTACGAAAGAGGATATAGGTTTTGTTGTTAAGCAAGCTGGGATTCTAATCCTGGGCTGAGCAGTTATTTTGGATCTAACCTTGGGCTTATTAAAATCTCTAATCTTCATCTGTGTAATGGACATTATACCTTCTAGCGTTCTGAGTATTCAGACAAAGGAGTGTGTATAAAACAGCTAAAAGATTATCTGACACATAATAGATGCTGAATGGATAAAAGTTGTTATAATTATAGGATCTATTAGTATATAATATTATATATTGCAACTATTAGGTTTGATTGTATTAGTTTGTAATGCAATGTAAGTAACCAAACTGCATTTGTCTGTAACTTCAATTTTTTTAAAAAAAAATCTGACCTTGTAGATATTATATTTCCTTAAAAGGACTTAATGGTATATTTAAAACTGTGGAGACTATAAAAGACAGAAAACATGTACTCCACCTCCTTTAAATACAAGAATCTATTCAAATGTGAGCAAATATGGAGGAGGCCAGCTGCTTCATCTAGAAACCTCTACTGGTCTTTGAGCTCAGAAGATTTAATTGTGCCGGCCTGACTCTCCCCTGATATACGTGATAGGGAGTGATCGTTGTTGTTTTTGAAGCTTGTAGAGGAAAGGGAAGGCCGGGTCTGTGATTATCACGTTTGTTCGTTGCAGTGCTGTCGAAACACTCAGAATGCCTCTGTCTCTGAAACGCACCCCTCATGCTGCAGTCTGGATCTGCTCATGGAAAGGATGAAGGGCAAAGATTTACAGCTCTTAAAAATGAACAAAGAGAATGAAGTATTGAAAATCAAGGTATGCCCACAAGGAGAACTTTCTAGGGTATTTTGAGGCTTTGAGCCAATAGGATAGATTCACGGATCCGTGAAAGCAGACCTGCACACACAGCAGTAGATCCACACCTAGGCTTACATAGGTAGAGAAGCATTTGATGTTTCATAAATTAAAACTCACTATTTTATTTTGGAGCCTACTTTTATTACTAAAAAGATCTCACAAAGACTCAACGGTTATGAAGTCTCAGATGTGCCAGATGAAGAATTTCTAGAGAGCTGCTATATGACATGGTGCCTCTAGTTAATACTGCTGGACACTTGAAAATGTGTTAAGGAGGGTCGGTCTTGTGTGAAGTGTTCTTAATGCAATAAATTTTTTAAAAGTATTCACATGTTTAACAAATCATGATATATTATACATATACATATACATATACATATACATATACATATACATATACATATACAGTCCTGCAATGACTATCTTGATAGGTACCGTATTTTTCGGACCATAAGATGCACTTTTTTTCCCCCAGAAGTGGGGGGGAAAAGTCCCTGCGTCTTATGGTCCAAATATAGCCTACACCAGTGTTTTTCAACCTTTTTTGGGCAAAGGCACACTTGTTTCATGAAAAAAATCACGAGGCACACCACCATTAGAAAATGTTAAAAAATTTAACTCTGTGCCTATATTGACTATATATAAAGTAATTCTCTTGAATAGGAATCAAATAAACACAAAGAAAGTATTTTATAATTACTTTATTATGAAATATTAAGTAAACAAAATAGTGAAAAATTATAAAATTCTTGTCTTGTCTGCACCTACGGCACACCAGGCAACATCTCACGGCACACTAGGGTTGAAAAACGCTGGCCTACACATATACTTTAAAAAAAAAGTTTTTTTACTTGCCCGGCTCTGTGTGGTCTCTGTGTGCTTGCCCGGCTCTAAAATGGTTCTAAATGCTGCTGTTTACTTTACAGGGTTGATTACATGTGTTTATAACTGTGATGTTGGATTTTAATGCACATAAAATATTTTAGGACACTATTTGTTTCAGAATCTTTTTTTCTTCATTTCCCTTCTCTAAAAACTGGTGCGTCTTATGGTTCGGAGCGTCTTATGGTCCAAAAAATATGGTAAATCTTTGCAGTCATCCTTGATTTATTTCCTTAGGTTAAATTCTTGAAAGATTCATTACACTTTAGCTTTACTGTCTTAATACTCCAATCTTGTCTATTCCAATCACTGTTATTTCAGGGCAGTACATCTTTTAATACTGCTGTGAACATGGGAGATAAAATGCTTGCAGATACATGCATAAGCTGATGGGCGCTGTGGAAGCAGGGCACTGCTATTTGTGGAGCTCTGGTTTGGCCTGCCCAGGGCCAGCCGGCCTGCGTGACAGCCCCACTAAGTAGGGTTTCTCATTTTACATTTTCCTTTTACAAATTAAGCATCTTTTCTCCTGTCCATTGACAACGGGGATGCAAACCAGACAATTACCGCCTCTGTGTTTTGCCGCCTCTGTGTTTTTAATTGCCCATCAAACCATTCTGCCTAAGAACCTTTTCACTGTAAATGTCAGAACCTGTGCAGTGACCTTTTTTCTTTTCTTTTCCTAGTTGGAAGCCTCCAGGGAAGCAGGCGCAGCGGCTCTGAGAAATGTGGCCCAGAGATTATTTGAAATCTACCAAACACAGTCTGAGGAAGTTAGAAAGCAGCATGAGGACAGTACACAGTTCCTCCAGGTACTTGCCTATTGGGTAAATCGCCCCCAGTCATCCTGATCCCCCTTTCTGAAGAGTTAAATGTGAAACAAACAATGGGAAGGGCAGGAAGTGCTCTGTGACCCCCCCAAACCCCCCACCCCTGCTTTGTGGGCTCCTGGATGTTGCCAAGCTGCTGTGTTAGCACCCCTGCCCAGGGCCCTGCAGAGCACAGGCGGCAGGTGGGGGGTACCACCCTGCCTAGAAATCAGAGCTGTCCCAGGTGACCCTGCCCAGTGACTTCTCCTCTGGGTCTGCCTTTGACTAGCTGAGGTTAAGTCCTTCCACCTTTCTGGATTTGGACCTCCTTGTGTCTAAAACGAAAGAATTGGGCTAGTGAAATGGTTTCAAAATAGCTTTGATCCTAGAATACATTTCTCAGGTTGAGCAAACACAAGCATGTGTGTATGTATACATCATATGTATTTTATGTATACATATATATTGTTATATATTTTAAGATATATAACAATTTTATATTTTTTATTTTAATAGATAAATATATATATATATATATATATATATGCAGTAGACACACATGTTTCCTTGTTTTGTTTTTTTTAATCTGAAGTATATATTGTAAGACCAATAAAAGTTTTTCTGAAGAATGTATTCTAGAGCTTGGAAAGAAAAACAATAGTGCTTGTGTGTGTGTGTGTGTGTGTGTGTGTGTGTGTGTGTGTGGAATTGGAAGCTCATTCATGCCTGGATCCTCCCCAGCACTGGCCCTAGGAAAGCACAGTGAGGACACAGTAGGAAATTCTCTCCTAGGTGACATGCCTTCCTGCTTCAGCCTGTGGAGGTGCAGGGTTCGGGTAAGAGCCTGAGTGACAGGACAGGCTGTGTGGACCCCAGGGCTCTGCGAGGGGTGGGCCTGCAGGACAGGAGTGCACATGTCCCGGCCAAGGGGTTCAGCCCCAGCCTGGAGTGGCCTGGCAGCCATGCCTGCCTGGTATTGTCAAGGGAAGCCAGACACATTTTTAAACTGCACATTCTCAAATCTGTTAACTGCACACGCAACTGTGAGTATGCATGTCAGAAGTCAGCTGAAACGCGCCCACCTGTGGCCGGGGGTGGCCAGGTGGACTGCTCTTCATGGGTCTTCAGCACAGCTGCTCCCCGCCTGGACATGGTGGAGAGAATTATTCTGCTTTTATGACACTTTTGTGTTAAAATAAACATTATTTTTCTTAAACATATACAATTTTTGCCGAAACTGGTTTGGCTCAGTGGATAGACTCTATCCGATAGAGCATTCGTCTGCGGACTGAAAGGTTCCAGATCCGATTTCGGTCAAGGGCATGTACACTGGTTGTGGGCACATCCCCGGTGGAGGGTGTGCAAGAGGCAGCTGATCGATGTTTCTCTCTCATCAATGTTGATGTTTCTAGCTCTCTATCCCTCTCCCTTCCTCTCTGTAAAAAATCAATAAAATGTATATTAAAAAAAACCATATACAATTTCATTTTTGTTCCAGATATGTTTTGTTGAGAAAAGGTAAAATTTTTTGTTTTTCTTAAACATGTGTTCCTCTTTCTCATACCAGTTCAAGTAGTATGCTCCATGGTAACAAATGTAAACATTCTAGGGATATTTCTATATTATTAATTCTTCATTGATTTGGTGTTGTTGTAGCCCATCAGGTTTATTTAGAAGGAAACACTGAATTAAAAAATGAATTCTAAACAAGTGCAAATTATTATTTTTTTGGGTTATTCAGAAAATTATAGAAGATTATATTTGTACAGTAAAACCTTGATAAAATGGACTAATTTGGGCAAGGAGTCATCCGTTAAAGCCAAAAGTCCATTATATAGGAATATAGATTTTTTCCAATGTGTATGTTAATAATTTGACAAATTAGGTTACCTATTTTTACTTTTGTATACACATTTGTGTAATTAAAATGAAGCAGGTATGTTGAAACTGGTTTGGCTCAGTGGTAGAGCGTTGGTCTGCGGACTGAAAGGTCCCAGGTTCAATTCCAGTCAAGGGCATGTACATTGGTTGTGAGTACATCCCTGGTAGGGGGTGTGCAAGAGGCAGCTGGTCGATGTTTCTCTCTCATTGACATTTTTAGCTCTCTGTCTCTCTCCCTTCCTTCTCTCTGTAGAATATCAATAAAATATATTTTAAAAAAATAAAAATAATAAAAATAATAAAATGAAGCAGGTATGAAAAGTTTCCTATATGTAGTACAGTAATTTTAAATTTACACTGAATAGATCTAGTAAATGTGCGCAATCATCAATCACCATGAGTAAGCAAATGCACTCGGCTGGGCATGGCTTAGTGCACTGGGAACTTTGGCCAACATGCGTTACAACTGATGCAGAAAGTCACACTGTGTGACAATAGAACTAAATACCTCACATGACGTGGTGTGATCACATGCTAATCATTCCCTGAACATTGTTTACACGCAGTGACTATTGGATTTAAATACATGGACTATGGTTGTAGATATATAATATTTGTGTCGGTGAAATTACTACAGTATTTTTTTCCAATATCTGGCTTATTTTATTTTATTTTATTTTTATTGATTTCAGAGAGGAAGGGAGAGGGAGAGAGAGTTAGAAACATCAATGATGACAAAGAATCATTGATTTGCTGTGGCATGCATGCCCCCCACTGGGGATGGAGCCCGCAACCCAGGCATGTGCCCTTGACCAGAATCAAACCTGGAACCTTTCAGTCTGCAGGCTAATGCTCTATCCACTGAGCCAAAAACAGTTAGGGCTATTTGTTAAAATTTGTTAAAAATAATAGTGACTTAACAAAAAAATTACCTGTTAATTTAATTATAACCAAATCTAGGTTACAAGCATTTTAAAATTAATAGGGTGTTAATTTTCACATATGACATATGAACCAGAAATTTTGTCTATTAAATCCGAAGTCTGTTAAATTGAGGTCTGCAAAATTGAGGATTTACTGTATAGGTTTAACAAATTAATAAACTGACAATTGTCTTTCTGACCAAAGGTTAACAAACTTGAAAAAGAACAAGAATTGAAACAACAGGTTGAACATCTGAATCAAGTTGCTGATAAACTTGAAGAAAAGCATAATCAAATTACGACATTGGAGAGCCTTGTACAGAGAATGGAAAAGGTAAAGGGCTAGAGAATTAAAGGGATTTCTTCTTGCAATTAAAAAAATAGTACCAAAAAAACAGGATAACATTAAGTAGCAGTACTCTTTCAACTCCTAAGACTTTAGGAAGTATTCAGTGATGCTAGTTTCTGTCCTTACACATTTAACATGATCTATTTGTTCAGGACTGACCTCTCTATAAGTACTGATATCATAACTCTGTAACTGTCTCCTTCCGGTAAATGTGAAACTTAGAAAGGGGAACCAGATGAGACATTGAATGGAAACAATGGAGAAGATCACCAAGTTTATCTATTAACTAGAGGCCTGGTGCATGAAATTTGTGCACAGTGGAGGGATTTGTCCCTCAGCCCAGGCCTACACCCTCTCCAATCTGAGACATACCTATCACAATCCAGAACTGCTGGCTCCCAACTGCTCACCTGCCTGCCTTCCTGATTGCCCCTAATTGATTCTGCCTGCCAGCCTAATTACTCCCCTACCAGCCTGTTTGCTCCTAATTGTCCTCTCCTGCAGGCCTGGTCACCCCTACAGGCCTGGATTTCCCCAACTGCCTTTCCCTGAAGGTTTGGTCGCCCCCAACTTCTCTCCTCTGCTGGCCAGGTCCCCCCCCCCCCGAAACTGGCCTCCCCTGCAGGCTTGATTGCCCCCAACTACCCTCCCTTGCAAGCCTGGCCCCTCCCAACTGCCCCTCACCTGCTGGCTATCTTGTGGTGGCCATCTTGTGTTCACATGGGGCAGCCATCTTGTGTGTTGGAATGACAGTCAATTTGCATATTACTCTTTTATTAGATAGGATAGAGACTTAGTGCATGAGTGGAGGCAAGCTGGTTTGCCCTGAAGGGTATCCTGGATCAGGCTGGGGGTTCCCCTGGATCATGGGATGGCCTGAGGGAGGGGCCTGTGGTGGTTTGCAGGCTGGCCACACACCCTGGCGACCCAAGTGGAGGCCCTGGTATCTGGGATTTATTTATCTTCTATAATTGAAACGTTGTAGCTTTGAGCAGAGGCCTGGGCTGGCCAGGGTGTGCAGGAAGCTTGGCTTTCTCCATTGCCAGAAATACCCAAGCCTCTTGCTCTCTCTGTGGCCGCAGCACCAGGCCTGATTGGCTGGTGGGTGTGACTTATGGGTGTAGCAGAGGTACAGTCAATTTGTATATTACTCATTTATTAGATAGGAAAATAATAATATTGCGGATGGATCCCTATAATCCTAGCATTTTTATGTATTACAGGAAGATTCCTGCAATAGGGCTTCCTGCTGTGGTTGCTGCCCTGCCTGCTTCCCTCCCTTCTCCTCCAGCCCTACCTACTTTCCTCCCTTCTCTTTGCCCTGCTTGCTTCTCCACAGCTTCACTCCCTTCTGCAGGCTTGGCTTCTTTCTACACTGTCTTGATATGCAAATTAACCACCATCTTGGTTGGATTAATTTGCATAATTGCCCTGATTGGCTGATAGCAGAGTGATGATTAATTTGCATATTACTCTATTATTAGGTTAGATAGTCAACCAGGTGCCCATTTTTGGCCACCCACATCTACTGTAGGTTTGTAACACCTGTGGCTACAGTGGAACAGATAGAGTTCATATTAAAAAAAGACATTCTATACAAAAGAATGTAGAGAAAGTAATAGCTGAAGAAAAATTTATTAAAAGTTACATGCAGTGTTCCTTTAAGTAGCTGTCACTCCAAATATATACAAAAGTGAGTATATAATTTTAATTATCCGTGTCTTAAAATTTAGAATTCAGACAAATCAATATATATTCATTTCTTTAAGAGCAAAACAAACTAATAGAAAATTGGCATCTCTGAAACTGACTTGGGGGTAGATAAGAATATAGACTTGACTTTTAGTAAATACTTTCAAATACATTTTATATTTTTATTATATTAGCTAGAAGCCTGGTGCGTGAAATTCGTGTACAGGAGGGGGTTGCCCTCAGCCTGGCCTGCACCCTCTCCAATCTGGGACCCCTCAAGGTATGTCTGACTGCCAGTTTAGGCCCTATCCAGGGGACCTGGCCTAAACTGGCAGTTGGACATCCCTCTCACAATCTGGGACTGCTGGCTCTTAACTGCTCACCAGCCTGCCTTCCTGATTGCCCCTAACTGCCCCCCCCCCCTTTCAGCCTGATCATCCCTAACTACCTCTGCCTGCTGGCCTGATCACCCCTAACTGGCCTGGTCACTCCCAAATGCCCCCACCTGCCTGGTCATCCCCCAACTTCCCCCTGCCGGCCTGGTTGCCCCCAACTGCTGCCCCCACTGGCCCAGTTGCCCCTCACTGCCCCCCTCTGCCAGCCTGGTTGCCACCAACTGCCCCACACAGCCTGCTGTTCAGTCGTTCGGTTGTCCCTCACTAATCCCCCTGCCAGCATAGTCACCTCATGCAGCCTGCTGTTTGGTCATTACTGTGAGGGCGTCCTGACCAATTTGAATATTACCCTTTTATTAATATAGATTTCCTGATTTACCTATTATATGTTCTTTCCAGGGCTTGTTTTATTTAATGAGTTTCCCCCAGTTGATCCCATTTTAGAAATGTCACTTCAAAAGCATCCCATTTCAATACTCATGTTTCTTGGCAAAAGGACTTCGATTAATTTTTAAATATGTTCCAAGAATTTAATTGATACCACTGTGCATTTGGCCAAATTTCTAATCTTAATGAAAGTCCTATGAGGAAATCACAAAAACTAAATAAGCCTAAACTGAACTGAATCATATAATAATAATACACAGCTATATCTATGTTGTGCAGTAGGTCACTGAGTGTTGCACTAGAGCCAAAGTCACTGGGCCACAATGTCCTTAAGCAACTGGTTTGTCCAAGTGTGACAGTTCATCATTATGATGTTCTGGACATGATATAACATTTGAATGACTATTTGTAGTATTAGGATATTTATCATGTAATATCATAAATAATTTAACAAACTAAGCACAAAGAATGCTTACAATTAGGAAAGAAAGACAATTCTGGGATGCAAATAGAGTTGTTTAACCAAACAACTTAATTAACTAGTTTGACATTTAAATTTAGACTTGCACTCACCTCAAACCCAGCAGCTTTGGGTGAGGGTTAGGGGCCAACTGTCAGTTCCTAAAAATGAACAAAAGAACCATGGGTATACTTTTCATTCCCTAGAAATCTGTACTCGATATAGGTTCATGTCAGAATTCTGGAATATATTCGACTTAATCCCACAAATATTTGAACTCCTATCATGTACCAGCCTGAGCTAGAGGCTAGGTATCTATTTATGAATGAACCAGATACAGTCTGTTTATGGAGAGTGCAATGTAATATATCTGGATTGTGTGGGACTCAAGGAACTTTCCAGATCTCCCTTCATCCATTCATTCTCTTGGGGCTCCTTAGGGATGCTGGCACCCCTACTGAAGATAGGTGAGATGTCTCAGAAGTGATGAGCATTTGTCTTGATATTGACCCATCATGGTGAACGGTCTCTAGGAGTTCTGGGACAGAGTGAGTGGACAAGATGCCCTTGGCTCAGAAAGGCCTTGCAGTAACTTCCAGAATACTAGTTCAATGGTTTCTTAGAGTGGATCCATTTGGATGTCTGGGATAAGGGGTAGGTGAGGATGGAATAGAAGGGCAATGGAGTTTTTCTGTGGGTTTTTTTTTTTTTAAAGACTTTTAGTTTAAAGATACTTTATATTTATAAAGCAAACATGCAAAGAAATAAAACTTTAAGAAGCAAAGCTGGGCAAAGCATCTTGGTTTAAGGACATACTCAGAATATAGGCTGTGATGAAAGGTTTCTCAGGTGCAGAGTGTGTATCAGAAGAAGGGAAGGAGGTACAGAGACTTTTGTATAATGTGAAAAAGGTGAGTCCAACAAGGAAATGAAAATTGAAAAATGAACATCCACAACAAAGGTTGATAAATACCACCCTGGTAGGGGGTGCCCCGGAAAAGGAGTCATTTTCTACTCACCAGTAAATAGCCATTAGTGGTATGAGGTCTGGTAATGAACACATTACTTACGACCCTCACCATCTGTCCCACTTTAATCAGGGATGCAGTGAGAATGAATTCCATACACACAGTGATAAGCCAGCAAAAACGTCCAGTCAGAGCCTTGTAATACAGCATATGTTCCTTTTGCGAGAAGTGCAATTCTGTTGCACCATATTTGTTTTCTAGTGTCATTGATTTAGCTCTATTAGAATTTTAGAGTTCAAAGGTGCTTTTGAGACCATCTAGTTCCTCATCATCATTTTACAAATGAGGGCAATGCAAACAGGAACTATTCCATGGCCGTCCAGTTATCAGTTTACAATCCTTTCCATTATGTCTCTATCTCTCCGTCTTCTCTGATGCTGGGTAAAAATGACATCCTTGGTCATTTAGATGTTAACATCTGGCCATGATTTAAATTGGTGTCTGTTCCATTATGATGAATAGGGGTGATTTGGGAGAGTGGATTGCCCACTGGGTGTCGCTGTGAAGTCCTTTCCCTTAGAAGGCACTAACCCTGAGAAGCGCGGGTGGGATAGTGTGATTTTCTGTGTTGTCAAAAAAGAAGCATTAAGACTTCTCCTTAAGACAGCACATTGACATGTCCAATTGTCTGGTCTGCTTGCACCTTGGTTATAACGATAATGGAATAAGTTCATTAAGAAGAATGTTCATCAAACACCATTTTCCTCCCCACAAATTCAAAGCATATTATCAGTAATATGTTTCTTTGATGACCTGAGTATTATAATAAGCTTACAAGGCATATCTGTGATCCCTCAGAGATAACTTGAACACAACTAGTGCTACACTGGGACAATTTCTAAGTCACAGGACTGCTATGGAAAAAAATTGAAAAAGTATAAATTTAAAAAATAACAGCACATAAAATATGAAGTGTTTGGCACCTTTAAATTATTATACATTGAGGTCCTAATACGATCCAGAGAAGCCCGTAGGCCTTTCACATATATTATCTTCAATCATCCCAACTTTCAATATAGGAATATTATTCCCATTTTAGAGATGTTCAGAGTCAAAAAACATGACTTATACAAATATAGAATAAATATAAGTCAGATGTTTTATTCAAATCATTCATTAACAAGGGACCGACCAGTAAAACTGGTTTAAATAAAATACTTAGAGAAACTGGCTATTTATAGGCATTTTGAAAAAAGGCATATAGAATAGGATTACTAGACTAGATATTTAGCCATTTAATATTCTTTAAGGCAATTAATACACAACCTTTGGTATTATCTTTTCAAACAGACATGAATCTATAAATTAACATTCAACTTCAGAGTCAGGGCTGTAATAATAAAGAATAAAATATCAAACACAGGGAAATTCTCCAAGAGAATGAAATAATCCTTGGGTCGGGTTATTAAAGTGACCCAATAAGACATTAAAACCACATGCTGTATATTACTTTGATTTCCAAGTTTTGGCTGATTTTATTAACAGCAATAAGGCCCAGAAAGATGAAAGCTTTGGCAAGAATTATGCAGCCGTAAAATTTCAAAACCAGGTCAATGCAGGTCCAAAGCCACTCCAATGCTGTGTTTGCTGTACAGCCTGCCTTGTGTTTCACCCACACAGATACCGTGGCAAGAGTGAATGTAAACAGCTTTGTGTGGAATAAATATAAAAAAGAACACAATCACCCCAGCTCGGTTTTCCATGGACTTGTCTATTTTCCTTTTAGATAGAAAAGATTTGGCTTATTAATGTACATTAAGGCTTATTCTTTCTCCATGTCATTTCGCTTACTGGCACGTCCTAATTAGAAAGTGACTTTATCATTTGTGACCTTGGTCCTTCCCTAAAAATGCACTTACTGCTTTCTTACTTCCTGACAGATGTCCTATGAACAGGTAGGTATCACATTAAGTCCAATATTGTCTTTGGGTACCGACCTCAGTCTAATGGAGAAGCGCCTGTGGTGGGAGAGCCGGGGGAGGATGAGCAGGGGCTTGCAGGAGTGGGAGGGAGAGGCAGGAGCCGGGTCACTGGGCAGGCTGTGTCGGCTGTGCGCTGGGTTACGGTGAGAGTGATGCAGGCAGGCGAGGACAGTGAACACAGCCAGGGCAGACAGCCGCACTTTGAAAACTAAGTGAGAGCCACACAGAGAATGCCTGCCAGGCTCCACTGGGGCGGGTTGTCACTGCTCCTTAAAATGACCTCTTTAGCTTAAGAGGTATTCCTGTTATTGCAAGAAGCATCTTTTGTGAACAGTTTGCAATTATGTCTTACCCCATGTACACATGTTGATGAGAGAGAAAAATAAGCAAATATTGTATCTTATTGATATTTTCTCGTAGGAAAAAAGAACACTGCTAGAAAGAAAACTAACTTTGGAAAACAAACTGCTGCAACTCAAATCCAACACTACACATGCTAAAAGGTTTGCAAATCTACCTCCTAAGTCATAGCAGTTCTTGGAACCTATTCTCTCCACTGGTCCACTGGGCAGTGGACAGAAGGCTACCGTCCCTTGAGGGAGCAGGAGGCCTGTAAGTGCGGGAGAGGAGAGAATTCCTGGCATTAGCCACTGTGTGCCTCCCCTTCCCCACTCACTGGGAAACTGTGGGCAGGTTAATCCTTCTGAAGACTGAGGAGCCCCTCCCCTCCCCAGTTACCCTTGGGGATAAAGGGGGTGCTGTGGAGGTCTTCATTCCTTCTGAGCTTCTGACTTTTTGTTGATGGGACTCTGCAGTAGCAGACATTACATTGTCCAGCCGCAGTGGAATTGTAAGGTAGGTTTGTGGTGTTCCCCAACTTTGTAGGAAGTGACAAAAAATGATGTGAACAACTCCTTAGTTCTGTTAGGAGTCCAGACAGTCTGGATTTTCTTTTAGAAATGATTTTTTTTTTTTTTTTTACTGATAATAGTTTTTATTTTATTTTTTTGTCAGTCTTTGAGCCAAATAAATAAATAAATAAAGTAACCATTTGAAAAAACAAAATTGACCTATTTTTTCCTCCAGTTCTATTCTATATGAGCAGTAGTTATAAAGAATTCTCAAAAAATTCTTAAAGAGGTTTTAGAAATATCTTGTGGGAAATGGATGTTTTGTGTTTATAGAAAGATGTTTGGACACCCAGGCTTATGCAGTTCTCAGATTTGTAAGTGTCACAGATATTCATTTATTGCTTTTTCTGAGCTGTGTGTAGAGGTATTCACTTTGCTAAGAGGCAAGAAAATGAAATCAGCATGAATCAGACTCAGGTAAAAGCAGTAGAGACTCGGTTAAGCTCCCACAAATAAAGGAGATCTCTGTCCGGTTAAGATTGGAGAGCAGCGGCTCTCGGGCGCGGGCATCTCCGGGAAGACAGGTTGGCTTTTAGAAACCAGATTATTTTGTTGCTCCCATTTCGTCCTGGGTGTGAGCAGTTTCGCTCTTCCTTTGTTCTTCCTGTTACAGTTCATTAACGTTTCCCCCCATTTTCACCAGCTGGTTTATAGCCTTTGCACTTTCCTCTCCAGTCCAGAGGAAAGAGACTGACTGGCCTAATACGGCTTCCTGGACTGGGCAGAATGTCAAGCCCTGCCCCTGCCTCCTGGATCAGAATGTGCACAGGATCCCTGATGATTTAACAAGATCCTCCAATGCACATGCAGTTTGAGAAGCAATTTTTCGTACAGGCTGTGACACAAAACAGAGACTTTTTTTTCCCCCTCTAATGAGAACATGTTCTGTAGAGTGACATGAATTTCCATGACCTTTGTAATATATGAACAGGCAATGGAAATCAGAATTGCAATTGCATTGGATGTTGGCCAATAATCGTAAAACCTTAATAAGTGGAAATTATATTCATATATTACTTTGTAAAGAGCTCATTTTCCAAAAGTACATCTACTTTATCCCTTTAAGTCTACAGTACAATCTTGTAAAGTAGAAGAGGTAGGAGTTATTATATCTATTATACTGAGGCTTAGAAAGGTGTGTGATTTCAAACTCAAGAGGCTACCAAGTTAGGTGGGTCTTGCCATAATGCTGTTGTCTCATAACTCAGATAACATTAGCAATTGATTATAACTATATAATCAATCCCAGTTACCTAAATAGGGCTTTAGAAAACTGTGAGTAATCTAAATTCAAACTTCATCCATCTTTTTCCACAATAGTTGATGTAGATTCAAAATATTAGCTGGAATTTAATTTCTTCCTCCCCTCCTCCCCCCTTGAGCTCCTTACAGGTAGCAGAATTACCCAAAGTAGGAAGCCAAAATAATAAATAGACAAACACACAATCTATAAGGTATACTAACTGTGTCATTGGAGATTAGTTTCTGGTATGTATGTAAAGTCTCCATTCCTGGCCCCATGATCTAAACTAGGGATGTCGAACTCAATCAGAGAAGGGGCCAAAATCTAAAATCCAGCCTAAATCGCGGGCCGAATGGTTTACTGAACAGTCATAAACTGTCATTGTGATGGAAACGCAGCAGAGTGCAGTGATGACAGCGCGGTGCGGGCCACATTGCAAGGCCTGGCGGGACGGATTTGGCCCGCGGGCCTTGTGTTTGACACATGTGATCTAAACTCTTACCCGCCTTGAATTCTCTGCGCCTTCTGATGGGTGCTAGGTCTGTGGGTGCTCAGAGGCAGACAGATTCGATAGGCAGGTGCTGCACTTGGGTCACTTCAACTCGGCTCAGCTACCTGCTGGTGGACCAGAGAGGAGCATTCGACACGAATTTATGTTATGATTGCAGTTTCTATCTGAGCTAACCAGAGGCTGCCTCTGGCTGTTTATCTTCCGTGTGTCCTGTGTGAAGGGGCCTGGGCATCTGACTCACATAATGCCCAGCAGGTAGCAGGTAGCATGTGAAGAGAACCTAGCAGCACATCAGTAAAAAACAAAACAAATAAACAAAAAAACAAAACACAGCTGTATGATGCATTCGTGAAATCTTTTACTCTCTCTTTTTGCCTCTCCAGTGCCCAGGGTCTTCAGAAGGAGATCTCCCTTCTCCAGGAGCAGATCTCTCACCTGCAGTTCGTGATCCACTCCCAACACCAGAGCCTGCGCAGAGTCATCCAGGAGGTCAGGTTAATCCAGACGTTTCTGGGGAGATGGTATGTGTACAGTGAGAAGACCCCACAGGAGCGGCTTGCCTGGGCTTCACAGGCAGCTGGATTCTTCTCCCCACGGAAGGCTGCTTTTGTTCCCAGACAACACAGCTCTGTTTTCAATGACCCCTCTGCCACCCCCGCCCTTTTTTTCCCCTATACGCCAACACCTGGAATGTTCTCAACTAAGATATGGAGGAAATTGTGTTTAACTGCTCTTTAGATCAGTGGTTTTCAACTTTTCTCATCTCATAGCACACACAAACTCACTGCTAAAATCCCGCGGCACACCAAAATATGCTTTTTGCTGATCTGACAAAAAACAATAATTTTGATTCACTCACACCCGAACGGCTCTTGTGTTGGCTGTTGTCACTTTTCATTTGACAGTTTAAGGGGAAAGAGGTCAGTGCCTCTGACTAAAGAGTCGGGTATTGCATGTTTAAAATTTTTTTGGCATGCCAGTTGAAAATCGCTGTTTCAGGTGTTTCTGTGATTTTTTAAGTGTCCTGAGCCAGGTAATGTACAGTGTTCTTTAGAAGACTGTGTATATTTGGAGGCTCAGCCTTTTCTCAAAGAAGGAATAATTGGTGAGTTTCATGTAAATTTACTTAAAAAGGGGGTTTCTTCATTCATTTTTTTGTACAAACATTTGTTTCCAAAAGGAGTCTTTCTAAATACCCCAAACACCTTCATGAGTTTGTGCTCACGTGGTTAGAACCTCACCAAGAGAATTGACTGTCGGCTCTTTGGAGCCAGAGAGGGCTTAGGGGCATCCCACGTTCTCCTGTTACAGATGGGAACCCCGAGGTCCACAGCAGTAAAATGAGGGAGCTGGTGGTGGCAGGGTTGGCCTTAGAATCATGTGTTTCCTCTTCCTGCACCCGTCTGAACTTCATCCACCTCCCAGCTCCACGCTGCCACTTTCCGAAGCAAAGCAGGCCCCTCTTCATGCCGCTGGTAGACCAGATCTCTGCCTCAGGCTGCTGCCCCACGCGAGGCAGTGGCCTGGCAGCTGGTCCATTGGCCTCTGCACCTGCAGTCTGAAAACATCATGTGGCTAAGACACCAGGACGGCCAATGCTGCTTCCCACAGAAGCAATCCTGCTGAATTTGGTTTAAACAGGTTTCCCAAAGATTGAAATGTCAAACAGCAATGTCTCTGTGCTCGCATCCCCAGGAGCCAATTTGTTCAGCGATTCTTCTTGGCCTACCGAGTCCCCTGATGCTCTGGGATTTCATTTTTGTATTGGATGTACATCCTTTGACCACAGCAACCTGCACAGTTTCAGGCTTACGTAACTATTCCCTGTTGTCTGACAAGGTTTTTCAATTGTGTCTCCTAATTCTTAGATGGAAGGCTTAAAAATTAATTTAAAAGAACAAGATAAAAGAATTGAAAATTTGAAAGACAAAGTTAATGTACTTGAAGCCCAGGTAAGGAGGAATGTTATATATTTCAGTGTGAATGTGACTGTGTGTGTGTGTGTGTGTGTGTGTGTGTGTGTGTTCAGTGTTTCTGTGAGCCTGTGTATTAATGTCTTGTGTGGTATGTATTATGTAGTTGTGTGTGACTGTGTCTGGGTGTTCATGTGTGAGTATATGTGCATATCTGTGGTGATCTATGAGTGTCTTTTTGTGAATGTGTGTATATGTGCTTCTTCTATGCATAAGAAATTATAGCTCTGGGGAGAGGTGCTCTTAATCATGACTAAACTATCAATATTAAACATTTGGTATTATTAAGTTATTAACATTACATATTGATAAATAATTGTTAAAAGTCCATGTAAATTTTCCAGAACACTTGCTATATTGTAGAGACAGCTGATATGGATTGGCATTAGAAGCTTGGTCAAGGCCAGCTTAGTCAGAATGCCTGTTTGCTGTCTCCGGCCTTTACCTGTTTCCCCTACCCTGAGGTGTCCTCTCTCTTCTCCCTTTATCCATATCCCTGTGGCTTCCAAGCTTTGCCTCAGGGCTCACGCACTTCAAGAGGCTCTTATGATTTTCTTATTTTTCAGAGTTTTAAAACTCAGCGTAAGACTTTATCATTTTCTGAGATGTTTTTCTCTCTGCCCACTATTCTCTTTGAACTAGGGAAGCCCCACTGAGGTTGGGATATATGAAGCCCCCATAGCTGCCTCAGCTCAATTTCCTGCTCAGGGTCACCCCTTCTGTCTGTCAGATGGCTAGTCACTGACTTCCCAGACCTGGCCATCTTGGCTACTTCAGCCCTCAGTCCTGCTTGCTGTCCGCTTCCGTGTTGTCCTGTTCTGTGAATGCACAGATGCTCTGACTTCCTTGCAAACCTGCATATCTTTAGGAGCTTTGCTCCTCCCCAGGGCAGACCAGAACTACATGGTCACACACCCAGCATGCTGCCACACCATTCCCCCCAACTTTCCATCCCACCCCCCACCCCTGTCACCATTCCTCCCACCTCACCATCCCTCCTCACCATCCCCCTCACCATTCCTCCCCCCTCACCATTCCTCCCACATCACCATTCCCTCCACCATTGTGTTCCTTCTGTTTTTCCAACAGAAGAAAAAACTCATAACAGAAAGATGTTGCCCAAATTTTTATGTCTTGAATTCTGTAACCATTTCTACCTTCCCAGAGGACCACTGTTCTCATTCTGCAGGGTGAACCATTTAAGCCTCAGGCTTTGCTTAGATTCTCACCTGCTTTAACTGATATGGGACTGTCCATTGATCAAGTCAATTCTCACAGCTCTCCATAGCCACAAGAGCGGTGATTGTGGAATAATTGGCTCAAAACTAGTGTTCACTCAAGTGCCCAATGAGGGCTGACCATGGTACCTCAGAGGGCCTCAGGTAATATGATCCATGGCTCAGTACAGCCGCTGCCGCTGAGAAATGTCTTTAAAGCCATCTCCTCACTGCTTTGTCTTATGTAGTGGCCTTTTGGCAAATAGCACTTGATAAAATATTTTTCTTACATTATTTTTACACAGCTAACATATTAATTCATTCTATGTAAAGTAGTAAATATGGATAAGCAAATATAATGCAAAAAATCCTGCAAACATACCATTGATGGGCAATTACTCAGTGCAGTTCAAAACCAACTGCCTTTAAGTCTTAAAAACCAGTGCCTGGAACTAAGCTGAGTTCTTTACATATTTTAATCTCATTTCAGAACCTCTGAAGAACAGACTATGATATTATCTAATGTACAGATGAAGAAATCAGGCACAGAGAGGCTAAGTAACTGAATGAGGTCACCCAGCTAGGGAGTGTGTAATTTCAGAGATATTAGTGACTTTCAACTGGTTGCCTTCTGTGTTCTGACAGGAACGACAAGGAGTGACGTAGGGTTGATCAGGAGCATGATTAATGTGCTAGCTATGTGATTTCTGAACTATTTTTTTTTCAACTTTAGAATAAAGAACTAAAAACCAAGGTGGCCCTTTGGTCTGAAACTCCTAGGACAATGGTATCTAAGGCTGTGGCTACAAGGTAAAGTCTCTCTTTTATCCCCACCTGCGTTCACAACATTCATGACTGTTGACCTTCATCCCACTAGAGAGAGATTCCAATGTATTAATATTTATGTCATTGTTTACTGTCTGTTTCTCAGTTCTTCAAGACTAGGACTTTTCAGAGCTAACATATGAATGCTTGCTGAATAAATGAATTAATCCACTTAGATATCGCTTACCTCTTCTTTGCTATAAAACAAGCCCAATCTAGGCTTCAATACTTCCTGCAAACAAGCTAGATAGGCTCCTCTCTTGTCCTTGTTCTTCTGCTGCCCACGTTTTGTGCCATTGATGAGTATTTTAAGCATAAATTGCTTATGTTTATTTAAATGTCCATGCCTCAAATCGAAATAGGCTATAAATGTCAAGAGGGTAAAACTAGTTAGTTCCTTGTAGTTCACTTTACTGACTGCATTGCTAATGACAAGTGTCTTCAATAACTACCTAATAATGGCCCAATTAAGTAGCGATAATGACCCAGTAAATCAATAGAAATGATAGTTGAAACCATCAAAGTCACTTTCTAGTGTTGACCGAATTCAAAGTGACAAGATGTAAAAAACAAAACAAAACAAAATAAAAAAAGACTCCTGGTCTCAAATCTTATTTTTATAATACTCTCTGAAATATTCACTTAAAAGAAAACAGTCTGTAATTACATGAATAATTTAAAAAGTGATTAAAACCTTCCTCTTCTAGCAGCTTTTGCATTTCCCAGTCTAGCCCCTCAGGGGCAGAAGCCCATTTTCTGAAACTCGTGGTGCATGCCTGAGCTGGAGAATCCTGCTGCGATTAGCATCAGGCTAGGAGTTCAGGCCTTAGCATCTCTGTCTTAGTCTCTGAAACAAGTGCTGCACTTGGCTAATCATATACGTAATTACAGCCTAGGGGGAAACCAAGATGAGCCAGACTTCTAAAATCATTGGGCCCCCAGATGCTCCATTCTTAACTTTTGGCCATTAACCCTGCAACTTCTAATCAAGAAATGAAAGTAGCCCCAGCAGTCGGAAAGGAGGCAGTGAAATACCCACACTTCAGAAGCAGTGAGAGTACAGCAAATCCTCGATTTTGTGGGCCTCGATTTAATGAACTTCAGTTTTAACAGACAAAATTTCCAGTCCATATGTCATCAGTGAAAATTAACACCCTGAGAATTTAAAAACACTTTTAACCAGGATTTGCTTATAATTACATTAATAGGTTATTTTTTTTTATCATGAATTCACTGTTAACAAATTCTAGTGAATAGGCCATATGTTGGAAAAAGCATTAGTAATTTCACAAACGTAGATCAATACTATATACCAAAACTATAGTCTACATGTTTAAATCCTAGAGTCACTGCTCATAAACAGTGTTCGGTGATTAGCACTTGATCACACCGCATCACCCGGGTGGTAATTGATTCTGTTATCTGGAGACTTTTGTGGCAGTTTTAATTCCTGCTGGCCTATGTTCCCACGTGGGCTAAGCCCCGCCCAGCCATGTGCATTTGCTTATTCATGGTGACTGATGAATGCATGCATTTACTAGACCTACTCAGTGTAAATTTAAAAGTGTAGTAATACATGTAGAAAACTTTCCTGGGAAATTAAACCTTTCATACATAATGAATTTTAATTACACAAGCAAGTCTCCATAAGTAAAAGCAGGTAAACTAAGTAATTTGTTAAATTTTTAACACACACATTTGGAAAACCTACTTTGCCATAGAAGGGACTTTCTGCTTTAACAGACATCCCCTCACTTGAATTAGTCCATTATACCGAGGTTTTATTAAGGTCACTTCAGAGCAGGGAGGGGGGAGAGTTTGGAATAGAAAGGCAAATGTGACTTGTGACTATTCGAGGGAGGAGAGGATGGTCAAATTTTTGCTCGGTTAACAGTGTCATCTACATAAGACTTTTTTTTTTTTTTTTTTTTTTTTTTTACTTGAGCTAACTAACGACAATTGACAGGAAGCAAAATCGCAACAGATTGGGCAAATGTTCTGGAGAATGGCAGTTTTGCAGCTTATTTTATACATTAGAGTCTAAGGTGGAGATTTAAGGGGGTGTTTTATATGATATCCATTGGTGGTAGGTTAGGGAAGTGAGAGAAAGCAAAGCAGGGAAATCTCAGAGATTAGGTAAAGAATAAAACCGAAAGACAAATCCTTCTACATTGGTGGGTTCAGGATAGTTAATTAACATTTAGAGCACATACAGCTGGTATGTGGGAGAAAAGGATACCAACGAGGGGCTGCATGGTCTCTCTCTGGTGGGAGACTGTGCCCTGAGGGGTCTGGAAAAAGGGGATTACTCTGACATTCCAAGGATTTGTTATTGTAGCTGCAAAAGGACAACAGACAGAGCCAGTTAAGGTAAAGACTGACCTTTGTCAAGGAAGATACTGGCCTAAGACATGACTAACCACCCTGACTTGCTTTTGGTTAGGAAGTTTTAATTTCAGACAACCCTATGTGGTTACTGTAGGTCTCTGAGTTGGCAAGGACTGCCATGTAGGTCTCCTCTGAGCTTGTCAGGTTTAGTCCATGGCCCCTTACCATCCACACCAGATACCATTCTCCTTGGGGTGGTGAGGCATTGTGGCCAGCATCCACTGTTTTCACCCTGGAAGGAATGGAGCTAACCAGGAACTGGTTGTCTCCTTACGGTAACCACTGCAGTAATGAGTGCCGAGATCCCAGCAGGGAAAGCTGCAGGAAGAGAGGAGACAATGGCTTCTACGGGCAATCCTACGGCAGCTGTGGTTAATTTAGAGTGAAAGGCCTTTTAGTTTTAAAGATTTATTCTCTTCCTATGACTTCGGAAAGGGCACATGGGAATAGTTCCTAATTGAAATAAAGAAACTGGACTGAATATGCCCTTTGTTTTATGATTTCTGATAGAAATTGCAGTGTTGATGATATGATGGCGATGCAGGCATTCCAGGGGTCCAGGGACCGAGGGTCTTGGACCCACTGCTAGCTCCTGGCCTCATGTAGGAACAAATTCAAAGCTGAGCCAGAATATAGTTCAAAGTGAGAGTTTCATAGTGAAGCAGTGAATGAGAAGGCTACTGCATAGGCAGAGCAGCCCTGTCCTTGTGGGATTTACATCCTTTATTGAGGATCATTTAATCTGAGAAAAGAACATTCAATAAGGGAAAGGAACATTTAGGATGGAGACTTCTTGGAAGATCCCAAGGGGCCATATTGTGTTCTCATATTGATTGGCTTTCTGTTTCCAGTCATGGCAGCCAGGTGTATGATTTAGAATGCTAATATGTTACAATGACCATATAACAAGGAATAACAATGACCATATAAAGCTAGGGATTGGTGCAAAGTGAAATTAGTCTCCACATTGGATCGAGCTGGTTTTCTGTGGGTTCTCAGCCATACATTCATTGGGGGTTACTCTTCCTATATCTGTAATAGTTGTTGTAGCCCTTATCAGTTACAGTCATTTCACTACATACCCTATCTCAATGGTAGGTCTCATGTTTGCACAATAAATATGGTTAATTGGTTCCTTTGAGAATGTGAGCAATAGGATGGTATGGTAAGTCTGGATTCACCAACATACAGTGGGCTTACAACTCTAGGGAGAGTGGAGTATAAAAGTGGCCGTTAACTCAAAAAAAAAAGATACATTTAAAGATTAATCTAGGCAAATCTCTTAAGTTACCCATAAAACATATTTCCATGCCACCGCTCAGTAAGTACCCAAAAACAAGTTTGTGTTTTATTTTTGCTTTGCTTTCCCTTGAACATTAGAACATATAGATGTTTCTTGGGTTGAACACCAGTATATGTGTAGATTAGAGGTCATTAGACAGCAACAACGAAAACAAAACATGCACACACACACACACACACACACACATGCACGCATGCACACGCACACACGCACGCACTCACACATGCACAAACAGAGAGGACAGAAAGGAAGGGAAGATCAGGCTTTAAGAAACGCACAGAATTAAAACATCCTGAGGGGGCATTGATGTGTTCCCACCGCCAGGTCACTCTGGTGAGTATCTTCACTGCGTGGAGTGGCAGACACAGGCTCTAACTCTCCCGACCCCTCACCTACAGGCTTCCTCACTTTTGTTCTAGTACAACTATGAGAATTTGCATAAGTTTAATGCTTCCACAATGTGATTCTCTTGTGTCTCTTGGGGAATTAAAATCCATCAATTAACCGCCATCTCTTAGATTAAAGCAATTAGTTGTGATGCGGTGGTATAGGACACTGGAGATGGTAAGGGCGGTGGTACAGCCATTACATCCTTGCAGGTTAATGTGCTTGATCTTGATGACTGTGTGGTCTTTTCTATAGTGACTTGAAGACTGAAGACTCTACCCCTTACTTGATGTTGGTTAGGCTACGGAAATGAGCTGGCTGGCTGAACATCTGAATGAGAAGGATCATTCCATGGGTCTTACTTAGTCTTTGAAACAGACTCTAAACGTGCATGTTAGAATGGCCCAATGCCAGTATTTAATGGAATCCATTATACATCAATAGCTTTGCAGCAAGATGACATTCCAGAAAATCAAGCAAACATATATTAGAGGGAAAGATCTCCTTCTTCAAAACTTACTTAATGGGTGAAAAAACCAGGAGCTTTCTCATGATGGAAGATAAAATTCTGCTTTCAAGTTTTTAAAAACCTATCTTTTCTTGCATATTTTTTACTGAAGAGAATGGTTTAAGGTTGTCAACTTGAACCTTTGATAGTGGTTTTTATTTATGTAAATAGAAAAAAGTGTGTATATGTGTATGAATAAATGTTATATTTTAAAGTTGACTTTTGGATAATAAAATATATCTTACTACTAGGGGCCCATTGCATGAAGATTCATACAATAGGCCTTTCTTCCCCTGGCTGCTGGCACCAGTTTTCCTCTGGCACCCAGGAGCCAGGCCTTTGCTCTGGCCACTGTCTTCTGTCTTCACTCTGGCCAGAGCCTTCAATCTTTGCTCCAGCTGGACCACTGCTCCTGTAGCTCTCTTGGCCTCCTGCCCTCCCCCTCATAGCAGGCGTCCCAGTCCATCTTGTCGCTCCGTGCCTACTTGCATGCTGCTCAGAGTGGCTGGGTGGCGAGGATGCCACCATCTTTGTCAGTTGATTTGCATACTCACTCCTGATTGGCTGATGGGTATCGAGAGGTGATTGTCAATTTGCATATTTCTCTCTCTTCCCCCTCCCCCCCAAGTAGATGATATAAGTTCATTTTTTGACCACTGTTAGTGGTACAGTTATTCTCAACTGAGTTATGGGCAGGGAAGATTATTTTCAGCTAATTCTCCAGCACACATGCACTCCTCCCAAATTGAGAAACATGGCTACTCACCACACCTTAGGAAATAGGGATTTTTCAGCAGGGATTGAAAATTGGTTGCTGAAGATAACACACACCTAAATACAAAGGAATGCACTTTGTGACTGCCTTCCTAATTTTTTTTTCAATATTTATTATATTTTCTAAGTAAAATATTGGAGGCGAGTAAGGACTGGAACCCATTGCTGTTGGCTCAGACCTCCATAAAAATGCCTGTATTTTGAGTTCGAAGGAACAGCCGACTGCAGCCAGGAAGAATCTGAATTCACAAATTAGACTTATTTGTCTAATGCTCTTGTGAAAGTGTGCTTAAATGTTGGTACATGCATTCATTACAGGTGAGCAAGTGATTGTTCTGAGTAAAACCAAATTCTAACCTGTAGAATGCCGATACACTGACAGCCAGGAAAGCAGAATGCTCTTCGACTAGAGGAATAATGGAAGATCTTAGTCGCCCTAAAGGGTGAACTACTTTAAGTCTTTTGATCATCCTCTCTAGTATGTAACTCAAACCATTTTCTCAGGAAATATGCTCAAAGCCTTTCCATGTGGAATGTGGAATTATCACTGCCATCTATGAAATATTTAAAGGTCTGAACAAATGAGGCGAGGTGATGTATTTATAAATCCATCAAAGTACTGTCACCCTTGAAATGTTACATAACTGTGCAGTAGGAAACTTCACTCAGAGATCGTGTAGGTTCCTCTTACCCATCAGTCATCATGCTGGATTGTAATAAATATGAGCTTTGTGAATAAACCCATCAAACTGAGCTAACAGCTTGAGTGGTATCCATTAGAACAATATCTTCTAACATCTAAATAGAAGAATATTTTTGGATTTTATTTTGGTTTAACTATATTCATTTTTTAACATGGAAGTACAGTTAGAATAATGCAGATAGGACCTGCTCATGGGGTCTGGAGGGCTCACTTTGAATGGTCTTATGATCTTCTGAGTATGAGAATAAGCAGGTTCAGAAGCCTGAAAATATCTGATCTCTTCAAACACCAAAGTGTCTTTGTACTAACATCAGCAGCACCATTTATTGGTCATACATGGATTATTTCCTATCTCTTTATTATTTTAATGCTTTATCATTTGAAACGTTTTTAAAATAAACATTTCTGAGTCACGAAACAAATAATAACAGTGGAAAAGTTTATTAGTTTAAAAAGTAGTGTCACACAAGAAAGACACAAAAATAAACACTAGTTCAGTTGAAGTCTGAATAATTGCACTTATAATTATACTAATTAATATATTGGATAAGAAGATCTGAGGTGGGCCTTGAAGTGAATACATGAATGTGGAAAATGAAAAGAAATTTAGTTTAATTTTTTTTAAATGTACTTTTATTGATTTCAGAGAGAAGGGGAGAAGGAGAGAGATAGAAACATCAATGATGAGAGAGAATCATTGATCGGCTGCCTCTCACATGCCCCACACTGGGGATTGAGCCTGAAACCTGCGCAACATCTAGAATGGGAATCAAAACATGACCTCCTGGTTCATATGTCAATGCTCCAGCACTAGCCATGCTAGCCAGGCAAATTTAATTTCACTTTGATTGCATATAGTGTTACAATTTATCATTAAGAAATATTTAAACCATTAAAAAAAAACAAGGAAATTAAAAAACCTGATGAACAATATTAACTGTTGATTATAATGGAATCAGAGATTCGGGATGGAAGTGGACTGACAATTCTCTGGGAAAAGAGGATTGGTGGATGCGAGAAGAGACTGAACATAAACTGTGCACCTATGGATAAGGACAATGGGGAGTGGGGAGGGGGCAGAAGGTGGGGTGGGAACCTGGTGGAGGGGGGAAGAAATGAGGAACCTTTATAATAATATGAACAATAAAGATTGATTTAAAAAAAAAAGAAGTATTTAAACCATTGATATAGTATATGTTTTGAATAATTGTTTATAATGTCTTAAAATAAGGACATTTACATTATAGCTTGTTATTTTTTTCTTTTAACATTAAAATTATTATACATAAATAAATGAACAAATTGTTATATAAGTAACAATAAAAACTGATAGTTTTTGTCAATAAACAAATACAATAGGCAGATAGCTCCCTCAATTTTCTGCTAATTTCCCCTGGATCCAAATGAATGCCAAAAGAATCTATTATGATTTATTTTACATTTGAAAAATTAGTAGCATTATGAAATCAACACAAACATACTACTAAAATTCTTTCATATTTCTTCACTTTGAAAATCCTTAACTCTCCTATGACAGCAAATTATTATAGCATCCTTACCAATATCAAAAAAGGTACCCAATTCCCCAACAATTGAAATTCCTCTCACTAATAATCATCATATTTCTCTTCCATCACCTCTTATTTCTTCGTTAGAAATATTAAGAATGCAATAAAAATTTAAATTATATTTAATTGCTTTGTTATTACGTATTTATGTGTTTAAAATTGTATTAGAAATATGTGTCCTACATGGTTTGGCTCAATGGATAGAGCGTCTGCCTGCAGACTGAAGGTCCCAGGTTTGATTCTGTCAAGAGTACATGCCCAGGTGGTGTGCTCGATCCCCAGTAGGGGGCGTGCAAGAGACAGCCAATCAATGATTCTCTCATCATTGATGTTTCTATCTCTCCCTCTCCCTTCCTCTCTGAAATAAATAAAAATATATATTAAAAAAAACTGTTTTTAGAAATATGGAAAAATGCAATTTATCCTAGGTACCCAAGGATGGTTTAGTACTTTTTAGTGTGTTGATAATGGTGAGCATGTATCTTCACAGGAATCCATAAATTTGAAAATTTACTTTAATAAAATAGTAAATATTTTTAGTTAGCACTATTAGTCTAAAGTTCACTTGATCAATTTTTCAAACAGGATTCATTCATTGTTTTGCAACAAATATTTATTGAATGCTCCCTATTGGCTAAGGCACCATTCTAGATGTCAGGGCTACAGCAGTGAGAAAAGAGGTGGAGGGTGCATGTGGCCAAGACTAAAGAAAATAGAGAAAAAAATCTCAATCTTCATGGAAATTATATATATATATATATATCTCCAGTGATGAGGAACAAATAATAAACTTAGAGGTGCCCATTGACTGAAGAAGAAGAAGAAGAAGAAGAAGAAGAAGAAGAAGAAGAAGAAGAAGAAGAAGAAGAAGGGGAAGAAGAAGACTCAGGGGTCTGGAGTTACTAGGGTGAAAGGCTGTGATTGCAATTTTAATCAGGTGATCATTGAAACTATGGTAACTGTAGATTGGTCATTTAAGGAGGATTGTCATCTTAAATAAGAACTCACTATGCTACACAGCGGAAACCAATACAGAATAATAATGAAAGTAAACTGTAATTAAAAAATAAAATAATGAAAGTTAAAAAAAAAGAATTTTGAAAGTTACAAAGCATCATTCTGGTGCATTAAAAAAAAAAAAAAGGAACTCTCTCTTTGATGATAGCATTTAGGCAAAGATGAGAAGAAAGATAGGGAAGGAGCTGATAGTTGGTGGGAGTGGCCCAGGCAGGAGCCAGCACAGGTGCACATACTTTGAGGATGGGCTTGCGGGAATACTCAAGATGTAAGCCGGACTGACAGGTAATAAGTCCCAATATTGTCTAAAGCATTTCCCATGCAGCATATTCTTTCATGTTTCCTTTTAATAAGTCATTTCTTTTATTTGATTTAGTTTTTCCTCCAGTTCTTTGAATCCTGAGCCATGGTAACCTAATGGTTTTTAGGAATTCGTACCTCAGTCCCCTCCTTGGTGTGCTTTTGTCCAAGGCACTAAAGAGTCTTTTTTTGACTCACCCTCCAGGACTGACAGGAATTGCTCTTGCTATTTGGGAGCAAGGTGCTGTGTGCTCATAATCCAATATATTAAGTAGCAGGACTCAAGTCTCTGTTTCACTTTTTCATGAGTGTGAATGAGCTCATTATGTATATTTTCTCTGGAGAATTAATCACACAGATTGAAGTCTTCCATTGTTAACCTTGCTGCTGCTTTTTAAAAAACAAACAAACAAACAAACAAACAACATTTTGGCAAAGATGAGTCTTCCTCTCAGAGACCTAAGAAAATGTTCTAAAGCTATGGCCATTTCACAAATCTGATGACTACCACAAAATGTTTCTAGTACCTATAAGATAGCCATAGTCAAATGATCATTCGTGTGTTGGCTTCCTAATCCATAATGCCAGTCACCTAACTGAGTTTCTAACAGAACAGCAATGCTCACAATCTTATTACAGCTCTTCTTTCTCCACAAGCAGCAATCCAGATTAGAATAAAAATGCTTTGGTATGGAGAATAGTGAATGATCATAATACTTTGTAAACAGTTTTGTTGTTTTTTTGTTAATCCTTACCTGAGGATATTTTTTTCATTGATTTTTAGAGAGTGGAAGGGAAGGAAGAAAGGGGAGGGAGGGAGGGAGGGAGGGAGGGAGGGAGGGAGGGAGGGAGGGAGA